TACCGGGGGGGGGGGCCCTTTTCAAACCGGGCCTAAATGGTCGCCGGCCCTTAGCATCCTTTCCACGCCTCGCTGCCTCCAGACACCATATAAATTGCCTCACTGTTAGAATCCCTACAGTTTCCTGACGACTGACAGAGCCTACTCTTGGAAACAGAACCACACATGCTCACAAAAGAGACATTTGCATGGTGCTAGAGCGAACCTATTCCCTCTTTTTGGCAGCAGGCTTTTCTTCTCCATCTGCTGGAGGTCAGAAAGTTTCAAAATGTTGCAGCCTTTTCTTTTGCAAGTCCATCATCTTTCTGTCCGTGGAATGAATAACATTGATTTTTTTTCTTTGCCCTTATCTACACAGAGATCATTTCAATTACCTTTGATTTCTGCTCAGTGTCATTGTCAAGACCTCTTAAGACCATCACAAGACCCCACAACTGAGACCATGACAAGACCACCTGCCTGAGCTCAAGTGATGAGCTATCTCAAATAAACTATAACAAAAGGATTCCTATCTCAGATATTGTTCACCCTGCTATTTGTACCTGGTCTTGTGCATGGCCTTGGGTTTGGTCTTGCAAGGGGTCCCTTGGTCATGGAAAATCCTGAAGCTCAGAATCATGGAAAAAATTGGGGAAAAAGGGGTGTCCTGGAGTCCTGTTCTCAGAGGAAACAAGTCATAGAAATCAAGATCATGGAAGGGTTATTTTTGAAGTGGCGCTTTTGATGTGATAACTGGATAATTGAATAAATTTACATGCTGTATCCTTGTTGGTCTGTAGTAGTGGCTATGGCAGCCGTCCAGTTCATACTATGAAGGAACTTTTCTGTGTCGAATAGCATTAAATGTCTTGGAAATTGCCACATTTTAGTCCCGGAAAGTCATGGACTGAGGTCATGGTTTCCAGCTTTCTGTTGAAACCCTGTCTTGCAAACGATCTTGTGATGGTCTCATCTACGTCACTGTTCTGCCTCTAACAGCGTGTAATCAGTCGAAAGCCACATCCGTTTGGCCGATGTCAAGTCAACAAGACCACGGTGTCTGAGATTGTGGATGGCAAGATAGTGCAGGTTGAGACTGACAACTACAATCGCAGGGTTAGTGACAAAGCGCCTCAGCTGTTGATAAATTTTTACATCAGTCACAGCACCCATCTGATTCATTGATGCCTTGATTATATTAACCCCAACCCCAAGGGCTTATTTAAAATCATTGAAATCAGAGGATTGAGGACTATTAGGGTTAATCGCTACACCCTTGTTAACTTGTCATGTGCAGACTTTGTCAGCTCACTGAGTTGTCTAGCTTTTTTCCCAGTACAGAGTTGCTTCTTAGTTTCTTCATGTTTTCTGAATTCCTTTCCAATTTGCTGTCCTGTCTTTGGCACCCAATTTCAAGTTTGAAGAGAAAATGTGATCTTTGCAAAATGTTGGTGTTCAAAGAGATATTGCAATTTTTGATGTTTGTCCCTCAGCACTGCCGTCGGGTTTGTGTCCTCAAAAACATCCTTCAGATTTGTGGCTGCTCTGATTCCATGGAACTTGATGGAGAGAGATGCAAATTATTGAATGCAACACAAGGTAGGTTGCAGTAATGAATCTAGAGTTTTACGGTCAATTATTTTTTCCATTTGTAAGAGTCCCCCCAACATAAAGGTGGTAGTATTGTTTTGAACATGTTTGTGTTTGTAATTCCTTAAAAGAAATTGCAGAATGTCTCCAAAAGGGACAAAATTCCTTCCCCACCGCCACTGGTGGTAAGCTCAAATAACTGCCTTAAGGATCAGAGTTGCTTGGATTTCTTGACGGAAAATTCCTTTTTGTAATGAGATATATCTCGGCGGGGGTTACCATTTCTTGAAGCTGAAGTGGTTCTCCAATTTAGTGCATTTTATTTATGGTCAGCCAATTTGCCAACATTTGTGGACCCATTTCTTTGTTATGAGGAACAAATGGGCGAAATACGTGGCACTTTGCCAAGAGAGAAATCATATGCATGTCCTATTGGTGTGCTTGTTTGTGTGAGCCTACTTTAACAACTTGACACCTGACATAGATAGCTCGCCAAGTTGAAGATGATCTAACTTTGCCAATTGTTGGTGTCCCCGTTTACGTCAGTCGCTATAATGTAACAATGATGGTGCCTCATCGGGGACCGTTGCGCGTGAAATAACACCTGTAACTGAAAGTTTGAAAGAATGTCTATAGGCCTAGCAAGCCCTTGTAATATTGATGCACCACCTTAAGCATTAGCACTGGTGAATCAGGGCACTTTTAATGTAAATAAGCTCAGGATCTGTGACTCGGGGAAATAGGGTCGGGAGTTCGAATCCAGCAGCTAGCTACCTGTTACCTTGGGCAGGTAACTTTATCCCCACTAGTCTGTCTGCCTAATAGGTACATGTGAAGGTATGGTTGTTGTGTTTGATTGGCCGTTTGTGCCTGAAATGACAGCAACAAGCTGTACGCTGTTCTCCCCTTTGAGATGGTTCTAGAAGTGTCTGCAGCCCCCAGAGTTGTAATAATAACCAGCCCTGGGGCCAATTTCATAGAGCTTCTTAAGCACAAAATTTGCTTAAGCGTAAAGAAAACCTTGTTTGACAAATCAGGTTACCAGCTGAGATCCATGTGATGTGTATTTGTTTGGAATGGCGCTCAACTGTCTTTTGATTAGCATAACATGAATCACATAGATTTGGAGCTGGTAACCTTTGTTTGTTAAGCAAGTTTTTTTGTGCTTATTTAAGCATATTTTGTGCTTAAGCAAGTCTATGAAATTGGCCCCAGCTTATATCCTCTGGTAGCTTGGTGCTATAATACATTTATCATTATTGCTTGTAGCTGTTATCATGGGGTTGGCAGATTTTCCCAAATTAATTTGGCAGACCTCAAGTTGTTTTCACTTAATTTCAGATCTTTGCAAGCAGATGGTGTATTACCTCCACGCCTACGACTTGCTGAATTGCTCCTGTGGTTTTCAGTGCATGTGAGTCTCACTTCTCAATATCCCAGAACCAGTCTTGGAGTTGTGTTCTTTTTAGTACAAGCTCACTGCCAAATGTTGAACTAAATAAAAATGATTTGTGTTAACCATGATTTGTGGCGTTTTGGTAGTCTATCGAAAATTGGCTACTAAGTCTTGCATTTTGTGGAAAAGTCAGTGTTTTTGGCTAACAAAAATAATGCTGTCAAGTGGTTAAACAGTCTGAATTTGTTTGTTTGGTATTTTTCCTCTCTATCTCTTTTCATTTGTATTTCAGTGACCGGCTGTACTCGGCCACAGTGTCACAGGCATCTTGGCCTTCAGATGCTTTTAGGGTAAGTTGTACTGGCAGCAGAAATCTCAAGGGGAGGCACTGATGTGCTGATTCATGAGCCCCAACGAGAAGGCATTTCCAAACAACTTTATGCATTGCACCATTTCCTTTCAGACCTCATGACAAAAATGATTGTGTCCGAGACTCCGAGCGTAGATGGTCAGAGACTCAGATCTTGATGTGACTCACTGGATCTTATGACTCTACATACATGCATATCACACATAATAAACTCAGCCTGTGGGTTAGAACAGGTGGAAGAGGGATATGCAGGACTCTTGCACGCGGCCATTCAGAAGTCAATGCATTCTGGTGGTCTAGTCGCCACAGCGTCGTCAGATAAATCTCTTTGTTACAGTTCTACAACCTCAGATGGTTCAGAAAATGACCTCACAACATGGGTCGTTTCCAGACCACTAGTTTGGTTTGTTCAACAGATTTCACATTAACAGTCAGCTACAGTCGGATACCTTTACAAGGAGGTCGTTGGGTCTTTACCAATCTTCATCGGTTGAAGAGAGACTTGTAGGTCCCGTGTGTTCATTTTGTTGGTAGCGATGCGACCGTAAACATGTATTTCATAGTGGTTCAATTCCTACCAGAGGAGCCTCCGTTGCTAAGAAAATTGCGCCCTCTCTTGGTCGAGCTTGAAAGCTCATTAATTATCTTGTTATAAAAGAATACATGTACAGACTGATGTTGTTATAAGCAGAATGTGGTATTGATACTATTCTCATTATCGGAGTCTAGCTATATATGTGATAATTAGTTATCTGTCTCATGTTTCAGCAACACCTCCTGCGTAACATCTACAATATCAACCCCAAAACCAAAAAAATCAGGTCAGCGGAAGAAATAAGGTATGTGTGACACAACCCTGGGAGGAAAGAATCGGACATACTCTGAAATCAGTGATTCATGTGTAGATCTATGAAATGTTATTTCAGTTGAAAACAACCAGTGTTGAAGAAGTTAGAGTTCTTTTCAATTTCTATTGTCCTGGGATAAGTTATAGTACTATGCATTTCTAATGCCGTGTATGTACGCAAGTTAAAACCTATGTAGGGCTGGACTGGTTCGCAAAGTACACGTAAGTAACCTCTAAATTGGAGAAAAGTGGTATTTTTTAATGTACATGGTTTGTTTTATCTCTTTAGAAAAAACCTGGTACGATTGAAGATATTTTATGAAGAGCTGAATTACCAGGAGACGCGAGAAGTCGAGGGTTACTCGGTAAGGGCTGTTTTTGTGTTGATGTGGACATAAAACATATGAAGTGCATGTGGAAAACATGGGGAGCATTAGAATGGGGTCGTGGTTGACAGCTTGCGGATACAACCATGTTTCTCTCCCGTGGAAAAGTGTGCTTCTGAAAAGAACCGGCAGAGAGTACTCTCAATATTTCGAACACGTACTCTGTCTTCAGGAGGAAGATACAGTACGACAAGATGTTGAGGAGGAGAGACAGTCGACTTTTGAGAATACTTTCACAACCAGTTCTTCTCAGAACCTACACCTCAGAACCTGCAGCCCAAAGGCTGTCATCCACTTCACTATTAAGCCTGGCAAGTCTTCGAGTCGTAGTATGTGTACATTGTAGTGTGTGTGGTTTTTGCTATCTGCACAGAGTCTTAGGCATTTTGTTCTCTTTGCACTCTGTGAAATTGGGGCCCCAGGTGGTGTTCCCTGTGGGCGAGTCTGGTCGGTCCAGAGTTTGGACGCTCCCTCCCTGCCCCACTGATGTCCTCTTGTGTGCCGGCTGTCTTTGCAGGGGACCAGCCTGTTCGGTGACATCGGTGGCATCGCTGGCCTCTACATCGGCTGCTCCATCATCACCTTCATTGAGCTCTTCGAGTTCATTGCGTACCTGATCCGCAGGCGTTGCTGCGGCTCAGCCAGGGCATGAACTGCAGGCCCAGTCCCAGATCTGAGACCGTGACTGGGCTGGGGTGTTGAGGAGAAGGGGATTCGTCATGCGCCAAAGTGGAGCTTTTTGCCAGAGCAGAACGAGGAGCTTCTACCGTAGCTCGCACTTCTGCCCAGTTGATGGAGACGTCATTTGGCATACCCCTCTCTCTTTTTATTAAACAATAATCATTTAATTCAGGGGTTATACTGTTTTTTAGCTAAAATTATTTCCTGACTGATGAACTGTCCAAAAAATCCACAAGTGAAAGCCGCTATCTCGGGCCTGAACTGAAATAACCTTTTCATCTCAAATTCTAGTGAAATTGTTAACACACCTCATAGAGTGAGAGGGTTAAATCTTATACCCTAGCAGGTTACTGTACTTTTTCTTTCCCTGGTGGTATTTCAGTGACTGCTTAAATTACAGGAGCTTTTATGAGGTGAAATATAACCCATTGTATTATTCACATCTGCAGTATTCTTTCAACCGGCAATATTTTAGCCATTAGTGCCACTACTGATAAATACTATAATGGTTTATTGACATACATGTTTTTTTGACAATTTAGGGAACTTATTCTGGTACTTCGCGCACAGACATTGTGTACCAGTGTTGCATTAGGTTCCATCACAAGTCCCTTCGCAAGTTCAGTCACAAGTCCCTTAACAAGTTCAGTCGAAAGTCCCTTCATAAGGCCAGTCATAAGTAACAGGAAGATCAAAGACCAAAGAATGCTTTTGTCACAGTTCATTTGATTAGCTTGTGAATTGGCTTAAGACCAAATGATATGTGATGGACTTACAGGGACTGGCAAGGACTTGCAGGGACTTGCAGGGGCTGTTTTTCTGAAATGAATGAGTTGAACCTAAAGAAATAAAAGACAGACTTTCATTTGCCGCTCTGTTGAGTCCGTTGAACAGTCCCAACTTTACAAGAGTACATTTCCTGCTGTAGAGGAATTGAATTACCAAGTGAGGTCAGTGTTTCAAGGATTCAGGAACCAGAACCCCCCCCCAGACTGTGACCGGAAGTATGCGCAATCAGTAAACTGTATACGCATGCATTTTTTTTGGTTAGGGTCAAAAAGTTTCCTGGACAAACCACTTTTGCTCCGAGAGCAGGAAGCAGATTTCAGTAGCATGGCCCCACTCTATTAAAGCCAAGGCCACCGCCAAAAGTATTTCTTGTAGTGGCACAGTTGGAGGTCCGGTTTTTTGAATACACAAACAGAGCCTTTGTTGGGGTGCACTTCCTTGTAAACCAGACAGTAGTGCGCTTCAGCTTTTTCGCACAATGTTGTAAAATACACATGTATCAGTGTCATGCTCGGCTCAGACCAACGCAAGACCTCCAGTCTGAATTCAAGTCACAAGCCATTTAAACGAGCTGCAGCAAAAGCATTCATTTGTCGTTGCTTACCCCACTTTTACTCGTTTGTTAATAAGTGCTTTACCTCCAGTTGGTTGCCTCCCCCCCAAAGAATAATCCTGGCAACGCCCTTGTTCATTACTGCAATATGTAATTTAGATATTCTTAGTTGATGCACTAGAGGAATATGTTGCGGAGATGGGAGTCTTTAAATATGAGAAAGAAAACTCTCACCAGGGATGTTTTTGTAAAAAATATAAAATAGACTTCCAGAGAGAGTAATTCAGAATTGCAGTAAATTTTGAGGGAAAGTCCCTTTAACTAGTAATCTTCTTGCAGAAGTGGTTGTCTATGGTGCACCTGGAAACCACCTTTCCTTTGAAATATGAAATTTCTATAAGATTTTATAAATAATATTTTGAATCAAACATTTTTACCAGTACCTCATTTTTATATTCATTAGTGTTATGAATAACAAAGGGCATATTTTTTTACACAGTATCATCCTTGTTATACTCTTTTCTTCATGTCGTTTGTCCCCAATATGCGTATGTTCCATTGCCTAATAACATGCTTATTATGCTCCATTTGAAATTTAAACAAAATGTGGGAGGAGAATCATTCGGGGTTCCTGAATGAGGACAAGTTTCCTTTACCTTAATTTGTTTTGAAAGCAATTTTTAAAATGTCCCCACATTAAATTCAAACATCGATTTCGAGCTGATGATTTAGTAATTATGCCCTTGGTAAACTGGTTCCCTTTAAGCTTGTCAAAGGAGACATCCTGTTCCAAGCTCCCCGGGCAAGACGAAACAGAAGGGAAGAAACGAACGTCATTCCGACAGAGCCCCTGCATGACAACCCAATGTTTGGCATTGACATTTCCTGAAGCCATTTAACACGTTCCCTTTAATGCATCGTAGTTTTTATTACTGTTAATTGCACATACTAAAAAAAAAAAATTAAACAAAAAACAAAAAATTCTTTATTTTAAGGGCAAACAAGTGCAAATGCCTTGCTTAATTAGTTTTTCAATTATATGAGTCCTGAAGTACGACACGAAAATGATTATTGACAATTTTGAAAAATAATGTTCTGAAGTTAATGTACCTTTATTGATGAAGCCTACAATAGTTTCTCAAGATGGCGACCTGAGAGTGAGCCCAGGAGAATCGTTCAAGTTCAAAGCAATCTTTGAATTTTATAACTATAAGAGTGTTCAGCATACTGAAACTGGAAGTCTGTTACTAAAAAGCTTATAGGTGCATGTGTGCTTGTCGCGATGCTGAGGTTCGGAGTGGAATATATGAGGTGGATTACAGAAATGGTGGCGTTGTTTTCGGGGACTGTGACGCGACGGAAATTGGAAACTCGGGAAATGCATGCCGTCAGCCCCTGTCTTGTCACCAGTGACGGGAGTTTTAGTTTGAAAGTTCTTGCAAAAATAAGGTAAGATCTGTCATTCACACTCATCTTCACCTATCGGCCTTGTACCTGTAAACTTTGTGGGTAATTAGACCGGTTCATGACCATGGTCAGTTCCTACCTCGGGCTCTGATAAGTGAAAGCAATCAAGTTTGCCAAGGGAAGGTTGAGTGGTATCCTTGGCTTGTACTTTTCCAGGAGGCACGTCTCCGAGAGATGGGGTACATTGTGCATCTGTCTTGAATTTTATGGGGTAAATGGGGATGGTTGAAATCATAGGTTTACATGGGCGTCGCAGGGAAGGGGGCGAAAAAAATAGAAAAATGAAGTATTAAAAAAGCAAAAGAAACGAAAAAAAAAAGAGATGGAAGAGGTCGCAAATCACAAATTTTCTTGAAATGACTTCAGTAAATTGACCCCTCCACTGTCAAGTGTTTATCAATTTGCAGCCAATAGATCTTTGCCCCTTGATATCCCCCAAGCATTGGGAGGGGGGGTAACAGCGCTCCCACTTGAGGCGGGGGATATCTTATCATTTTTTCCCCCGGATCCTAAATTAAACAATGGAGGGGATCATTGGCCTACATTTGATTCATATTTCAGATAAAGTAATTTGAAAAATGAAATTAATCTTGCCGAAGTGGTTCCAAAAATATTTGAATTGCGGGGCAGGAATTGCCACAGATTGCACGACAACACATCTAGAATGCCAATTTTCCCGGACCCCGTGTTGTAGGGGCTTCGCACTCCACGCTGGCCTTAGTTCTTATCAAAGTTATATCCCCCCCACTTTTGAAAAGTGATTGACACCCATGAGTGCATTTATTCTTGTGTTATGTACATGTTGTGCGCTTAATTAACAGAGCGTGCACTAGGAGCCAAAGGCTACTTAATTGTAGTTGTATGGGCGGCCTAAAATGCACCTTTGCCTCATTACTTTTTGCATAAAGTAATCGCATTGTTTTTCTGTTTTGATGCCTGGGTGAGATTTTTAGCACTTGTGTAATGAATTATCATTTATGTGCTGAAGACCAGCCTTATAATTATAACATCGGTATTACCAGTCACTCGTAGGTAAGAAAACACGACAAAGAGCTGGCTGTATTTCCAGTTGTTATTGTTTACTTGCGGCGTATAAACTTGCAGAGTGTAGGACTTCATACATGTTGGTTGTAAAGCAGCGGCTCAATGGGCCTGCAGGGTATTGCCCTTTTTTTACCCATATGACTGGATTGCACTTAGGCCTAATGTAAACAGTACCACCACGTGATGTGGACCGCCGTGGCCACGGTGATCGTATATATTCCTACGGGCAGCTTCAACTGTGTACAAGCGCCCTTGCGAACGCTGTATGCTTATGACTAGTTTATCTTGAATAAGTACTGGAAGCCAAGGGCAAAGGCCTATGCCCAATTCTGCCATTGTATTGTGTCTGGAGGTCATTATCAGCGTAACTTGAACTTGGACAGATTAGGCCTATTGGTCTCACAATAGGCGGTCTTTTACTTAGATTTTATTGCAAAATGTTCGATCTACATTTCAACGGAAGTTTTGAGAAGAAAATAATGTTGCTTGAACTTGTCAATTTCTGTATGAAATGACCTTTCTATAGAAAGGCTGGGAAATGAAACAGTAGAAGCAAACCCAAAATTGCTATTTCAACAGTGGCCCTGAAATCTAATTGTTACAGGTAGGCATCAGGCATATATCTTGGTAGATACATGTAATTAGCAGTAGTTGGCAGGAATTTGAATTCAACTGGTATAGATACCCTCACAATTCTGAAGTCATCTTTTTTTGAAGTACCAATTGGACCAGTTTCTTATTAAAAACAAAGCAGCGAGTTGTTATTTTTTAATTTGCACTGGGAAAAGTTTGCCTTGGACCTTTTTTTCCTGGGTCAATATCAGGTGCAGTAAAGTAATTACTTTTGCCCACAATACCGTGAAAAGACCTTTGATTGTTGTACCATAGAGGAAGGACACAGGAGTTACAACTCTGGCACTTCAAAGTGCTGGATGGTCATCGCCGTTGGGTCAGACAAATAATAGAAAACGTTCCAAAAGTGCCTGATTACTGCCCTAGCTGGGCAAGCGGAGCCAGTAATATCCAAGCAATACTTGTAGTGTTTTGCTTGAAATTAGAAACAAATTATTGCTGTGACTAGGAACAGAGCGAGAAAAATCCCTGATGTTAGACCAAGTTTTGCCATCGTGAATAAACTTTAATATTTCGATACACTGTTCCATTATCCATGCAGTTTGTAATCTTTTTCTTCTCCCGCCTCCAGTACATCAGTTTTCAAAGACTTGGTACGAATTTGGCTTAGGCTAGCCAACAATATGTCGACCACTACTGGACAGCTAAGTGTCATCTAAGTTCATAAGGAACAAAATGCGCTATTTCATCACAAGGAGTGCAGTGATCATGAGATCTCGTAAAACACACTTTTGTACAAATGTCGTAATTTAAATGATTTAAACGAAACGCAAAATCTTGTAAAAACCTGGCTATTTATTAAAAAAAAAAACCAGAAGAAAGCGTTCATTAATGATTAATGCAATCAACTCACTGCAAATGTACATTTAGGGCACAAGGCGTAACACAAGCAACTGCGCAAACATTAAATTTGATGTTGTTATGAGATCAAACCAAACACCAACAAATGTATGAATATTCAATCTCCTATACTTCAGTACACAGAGTTTTAAGGATACAGATTACCGGCGAAAAATTGCAGCGGCGATCCTCGGATACAAAGGGGTTTCGTGGTTGCGAAACAGAAGGTGCGTAGCAAACCGATATGCTCATACCGGACATGCCAGAAAAGTGGTACCTGTAGTTGGCCAGATGTTTTAGCTCGGGCAGTTCAAACTCCGGTGTCCTCCCCCTATGGTTATACACACACGACAAACAGTGGCACGGGCACCACGCCTCCCTGTTTTCGTCTGGGAAAACGACTCTTAAGAAAAAGTACCTCGAGACTGTCAGAATCAAAATGCATGCGCGCGTGAATGTGCTGCGATCACAATCCTCCTCGGATTGCACCATGCATACACACCCAATACCATTTCATGATTGAATCGAACAAACGATGTTGGTTTGCTTTATATTCTGGAAAATATAGGGCTGTGTCGTATGGTGCCCTCTGTGTTGTCGAAGTGGAAGTCAAGCTTCTTGCAGAAGCTATTTCAATCCAAGTTTAAATGAACACCCCCCCTGCGAGTCTTTGGAGCGAAATCTTTGACGAGAGCAATCAATATAGGCAAGGCATGATGCATGCTTTCAAGTGCGTGGGCCTAATCATCTTGTCATGATTCGCAAAATCACACGCAGATCAAGTAGTAATTTACATGTACTTTTTATTTCGGAACCGGCCCACAGAGGATCTTAGATGATTGTCGGTTGTTTGTGAGAAAGCACTGTCTATAAACACTCAGTGCATGGTGAAAAAACATGACCTTCACACAGAAGATATTGTCGAGAGTGATGAACTATCGATGTAATATGGTCCGTTGTGGGATTGACGTCTCTCACCTCTGGCTGCGCTATAAGTAAAGATTATGACAGTAGGAAATTAATTTGATTTTCTCATCAGGTAATGACATTAAGGAACGTTAACGGCCTAGCTTGTAGCTTTAAGCCCCACTTTTGCCAGCTTTTTTGTACTCAATGATGACAGGAACAAAGCTTTAAAACTATCCTTGACTGCCCCCGCTCAACCTTTTATAATGTTTTAAATGCCTGCATAATTGAAATAAAACAAACTCTCAGCCTCGTAATATACGATTGACTTATGGAACAATTGTAACACATTATCGAGATAGTTCGCATTCAGGAGTTATTTCCTACTGCAGCGTCATCCGGTTTCTCACAGCATAAGCCCCGTCTCATGGAGAATTCAGCAGTTTTTCGACATTTCAATGCCGTTCGACCTTCTTAGCCCTTGCAGTAAAAACATGGACCTGTTTGTTTTGATCTGGATCTTGAATCAGTGATCCCAACGCTGGTTCGCTCCATCCACTCGGCGGGTTCTGGTTATCAGTGAACGAACGACGAATCACCAATTGACTCGAAATCTGTGTGAAACCATGGTGAAACAAACAGGCCCAAAATAGGCAACGCGCCTACATGATGACTCTTGCATCCATGACATTCTCACTGCAAAAACTGTGTTTAGCCAATAAAGACTTTTCTTAACTCTTCATTGCTATCAGTTTGTAAATCTATTTAAATGCTAAAATGTTTACAGTTCTGAATTTTTCAGCCATGAATGTTTAGGAATTAGACAGTCAACGTTCGCCATCTAAACCTGTTTATAAAGTGGTGTCGAAATGCTGAACACAGGTGTTACACAGCCATATCCCTGGAGCATAATCACAGTTGAGTGAAAATAATGTGGCAAATAGTGCAATTTTGTGCTTGATGTACAGTTCCGACATGAATGTTCCCAGACTTGAGGAATTCTTTCTAAAGTATATGCATGTATATCCCATTATTTTCATGAGGAACAACGTAGAAATTAACGTTAATATTCACCACGGTATAAAAAGGATTTGGTATTATTTTAGCCAAAAGCGGTTTGTAACGTATTTTATGCAGAAGTAACAATCAACTCAAAGATCGCGTCTCATATACCATTTTCTTAACATGCAATACAGAATGTGACGATTAGTATTATATTGCCCGCAGGGCAGATAAGAACTTTACAGTAAACTACAATGTCTCACATATTTTATACATTATAAAGCACCAATTAAGTGTTGCAAATTCCAACCTCGTGTGCTCAAATATAAATGACAGCAAATTCATTTACACTGTTGTGTCTTTGGTGTCCCTGGTGGCCATTTTCACGGACGAAGAGGGCACTGAATGACTGCTCTCCTCACTTGTCTTAGCCTTCTTAGACCGGCACCTGCCAAAGAAATGGTTGAACAAGCGACAAAATTCTACACGGAAGTCCGGATGTTTTGTTCCGTAGATGATAGGGTTCAAACAACTGTTGGTTAGAAGCAGAACGGCGGTGTAAGGCAGGGCTTCATAGGCGATGGAGTCTAGAGCAAGGACGAAAAAGTACGGGAAAATGCACAGGAGGAACACACAAACCACAAGGAAGAGGTTCTTCGTGACGGCCAGCTGACGCTTCGAGAGCTGCTTCTGGAGACTAGATGGCGTTCCACACTGAGGGGTTCCCCTCAGCGTCATTTTCCTGGTCGAGCTGCGGACGAAGAGGAAAATCCTGACATAGGATGCCGTGACGATGGTGAGCTGGACCGGGTAAAACACTGCGGCCACGAAGAACGAGTAGATGAGTCCATCCACCGGCGCAGACAGCCAGGTGCAGGTACTGAAACGCGGGTCGTAGCCAAGATCAGCATAATCAGAAAAGACGGGGATCAGAGCTACAAAGATTGGTATGGCCCAAGCCACAGCAATCATCACAGTCAGTTTCCAGCAGGTGTAGATTTTGCGGTACCGAATCCTGGCCGTGTCGGTGACAGCAACCAGCCGGTTGACGGCGATCAAAGCCAGGGTGTTCAAGCTACATCCGATGAAAGTCAGCAGTCCAAAGGCAATACACTGGCAAAGCCACATGGGTAGGATCAGTTCGTAAGACAGGACGATGACGGCCGACAAGCTGGCCACGAGGCACGTTAGAGTATCAGCAACTGCAAGGTTCACCTCGAATACGTTGGTGACTGTCTGGAGCTTCTTCACGGACAAGACGAGGAAAACCACCGTTACATTCCCGACAAACCCGATGAACATGATGATGAAAAGGTACGCAGAAAATAAGGTTCGCTCAGTGAATGACAGATATATCGGGTACTTGGTCCCATTGGTGGTTGCAATTGTAGTTTCATCCATAGCGAATCACCATAGTATTTTCTCTCTGTACGTACTTGCAAAACTCTGTGTGGTATTTGAGCAAAGAGAACAACCAGATACCCTTGTGTTCTGTGGACCAGACCAGGAAAAAAAACCCCAGCATTTATTTCACACGGTGCAGCCTTCTAAGAATGCTCTTAGAAGACCCTCTCAAGGGCATGGAAGTGTGGAGCCGGATATGGAACCCCGGTGGCAAGAGGTCAACTCAGACTTCCGCCTCGAGCACACTTTAACATTATTGGGTTTGTTATTGGTTTAGTCAACACGAATAGCTTTTTTAAGGCAACGAACCGCCAGAGGCACTCGTTGGTGATGATGCCTGCATCTCTCTGTGACGTCATAGTGCATGGTGACATTCGTCACAGCCTGAGCATTGCATGTGACGTGTAAACTTGATGAATTTTCCGTACTTCGCCGAGGCGAGCTGTACGATCGGTCTCACATTTGCATAACCTCTTTTTTCAAATCTGTCCTTTGTTCACTCAGATTGTGATAACAATGACGCACTTGTAATCCTAATTTTGTCATCATGAAAATATTCGATTCACTGAATGATGGAAATTTCGTAACCTCTCCAGCTAATATGTCTCACAAGTTCCTGTGGTTATGAGTCAAGTTCACTTAGTTTTCGGGATATCGAACGTCAGATTGTTGAGGAAGTGCAAAGGTAACCGTTGAAAGAGCTTGATGTTCAACAGAGAAACTTGGAGGGACGCTCTTGGATCATCAGGTGAAGTTTAGAAAATCGTCAAGAATCTCCGATGATTTAATGAAAACTATTTTACGACCCTTTCAACGGCAGTTATCGGTTATCTTGTTTTTCAAGTTAAACATGAAAAAAATTATATTATGACCCCAGAAGATCAATGAAATGAATCTTGGACTCACTTTGTGTGCATCTTTTGCTCTTCTTCAATGCATGAAAAGTGTTTGGATTTTTTTTTGGAGTTTAGCGTAGTGAAAAGTACATTTCCAAGACATTAAGAATTATCCAAACTATTCTGAACAAGTGAGGGTACTGCTGCTGTTATGTAAATCCGGGAAGACACTGTTCACTTTAGATGAACTTTACATGTAGGACATATTTGGACATCAAAACTTTACATGTTTTGAGGTCCAAATTTGAACCACGTGTTTGCTCTTGAAAAAAATTCCTGAGAAAGGACTGCTGACTGGCATGTTGCCATATACTTAAATAGTAAATTGCAAAAGAAATGGAAATTTACGACTGCGAATTATTTACCAAATTTCTGCAGTTTTTAATACATAAATCAATAAAAGAAAAGTGAGGTTCAGTGCCTGGGGTGACATCATAATTTTGTTAATAAGTATGGAAATTCACATTAAAATAAGAACCCACAAGGCTTTAACACAGATTCATATACTATAGCCAAACAAAAATCAAAAATAAGGTACATTAAACCATCAATGAGGCGGAATTTCAAGGGTCCTGGTAAAATAAATATTTTACGTGGTCCCTTAAAGATACATCATGTGATTCACAGTTATTTACTTTCAAACATAGCTAGTTCTTTACATTGGCATTTATGTGAGATCATCATTTTCTGACAATGTACCCCACCTGAACATTCTTGTGTAGCCATATTTCTTGAAATTTATTACATTTTGATAAGCTAAAAAAAAAGGAATAGCGCAATTCTGTTCTTTATTCGAAGTTCCAGTATTTACATCCTATAAAAGACATTTCTAACAGTGAAAGAGTTCTGTCTATTCTCTGCATGCATATTCCAGTATTTCTATAAGAACCAGAACTCAGAAATCATCGTTACTATCCACAACAGTATCAGAAGGGAATACTATTACTTTGGTCTACAGAAATTTATGACATCGTTATTTTTCACTGTGAAAAAGTAACAATCCCGACTCAGAAATCACATTTAAACATCGATTTGCTCAACGTGAAATAAAAATAAGACGATTTTATAGTACGATATCGCCCGAGGTGCAGATAAGACCTGTAGAGTAAACTACATGTAATGTTTAAATGAGTTTTTAGAAATTCTAACGTAAAAAAACATGTCTTCTAATGAGCTCCATTATGTCTATCAATCAAAGCTTGTTGTAAACGGCAATAATAAATATAAGAACTTCATCACTACACTTGCGTGTCCTTGGTGTCTGTTGTGGCGAGTTTCCCAGACGAAGAGGGCACCGAGTGACTGCGCTCCTCGGGCGGTTTCGCCTTCTTGGACCGGCACTTACCAAAGCAATGATTGAACAAGCGAGAAAACTCCACACGGAAGTCTGGGTGTTTAGTTCCGTAGATGATAGGGTTAAGAAAACTGTTGGTCAGAAGCAGTACAGCGGTGAACGGCAGGACTTCATAGGCAAGAGAGTCTAGAGCAAGGACAAGAAAGTACGGGAAAAGGCACACGAGGAACACGCAAACCACAAGAAAGAGGTTCTTCGTGACGGCCAGCTGGCGTTTCGAGAGCTGATTCTGGAAACTGGATGGCGTTCCAGACTGAGGGGTTCCCCTCAGCGTCATTTTCCTGGTCGAGCTCCGGACAAAGAGGAAAATCCTGACATAGGATGCCGTGACGATGGTGAGCTGGACCGGGTAAAACACTGCGGCCACGAAGAACGAGTAGATGAGTCCATCCACCGGCGCAGACAGCCAGGTGCAGGTACTGAAACGCGGGTCGAAGCCAAGATCGGCATAATCAGAAAAGACGGGGATCAGAGCTACAAAGATTGGTATGGCCCAAGCCATGGCAATCATCGCGGTCAGTTTCCAGCAGGTGTAGATTTTGCGGTACCGAATCCTGGCCGTGTCGGTGACGGCAACCAGCCGGTTGACGGCGATCAAAGCCAGGGTGTTCAAGCTACATCCGATGAAAGTCAGCAGTCCAAAGGCGATACACTGGCAAAGCCACATGGGTAGGATCAGTTCGTAAGACAGGACGATGACGGCCGACAAGCTGGCCACGAGGCACGTTAGAGTATCAGCAACTGCAAGGTTCACCACGAATACGTTGGTGACTGTCTGGAGCTTCTTCACGGACAAAACGAGGAAAACCACCGTTACATTCCCGACAAACCCGATGAACATGATGATGAAAAGGTACGCAGAAAATAAGGTTCGCTCAGTGAATGACAGATATATCGGGTACTTGGTCCCATTGGTGGTTGCAATTGTAGTTTCATCCATGGCGAATCACCACAGTATTTTCTCCCTGTGAGTACTTGCAAAACTCTGTGTGGTATTTGAGCAAAGAGAACAACCAGATACCCTTGTGTTCTGTGGACCAGACCAGGAAAAAGCAGCATTTATTTCACACGGTGCAGCCTTCTAAGAATGCTCTTAGTGGACCCTCTCAAGGGCATGGAGGTGTGGAGCCGGATATGGAACCCCGGTGGCAAGAGGTCAACTCAGACTTCCGCCTCGAGCACACTTTAACATTATTGGGTTTGTTGCCTTAAAAAAGCTATAATAAACAACACGAATAGCTTTTTTAAGGCAACGAACCACCAGAGGCACTCGGTGATGTCAATGCCCACAAAGTACTAGATCTATGACGTCATAGTGCATGGTGGCATTCAACACAGCCTGAGCATGGCATGTGACGTGTAATAAACTTGACGACTTCTCCGTACTTCGCTTACGCGAGCTGTACGATCGGTCTCACATTTGCATAACCTCTTTTTTCAAATCTGTCCTCTGTTCACTCAGTCAGATTTCGATCACAAAGACGCACTTGTGATTTTGTCATCGTGAAAAGTATTCGTGTCACTGGATGATGGAAATTGCATAACCTCTCCAGCTATTATGTCGATCCAGTTCCTGTGGTTATAAGTCAAGTTAACTTAGTTTTTGGGATATTTCACGTGAAAAGATAACCTTTGAAAGAGTTTGATGTTCAACAGAGAACTTTGGAGGGACGCTCCTGGACCATTAAGTAAAGTTTAGAATATCGTCAAGAACCTCCAATGAGATAATGCAAACTATTTTACAATCCTTTCAACACCAGTTATCGGTTATCAAGTTTCTCAAGTTTAAATAAGAGAAAAATTATTTTATGATCCCAAAGATCAATGAAATGAATCTTGGACTTATTTTTTGTGCATCTTTATGCTCTTTCTCAATGCGTGAAAAGTTTGCAAATCTTTTAGTGTATTGAAAAGTACACTTCCATGACATGAAGAACTGTCCAAACTATTCTGAACAAGTAAGGGCACTGCTGCTGTTATGTAAATCCGGGAAGACTCCATTCAATTTAGATGAACTTAACATGTTGGATATGGTTGGATTTCAAACATGTCGGACATGCTTGGACATTGGAACCTGACATGTTTTGATGTCCAAATTTTGAACCGCGTGTTTTTCCTTGAAAGACATTCCCGAGGAAGGACTGCTGGCTGGCATATTGCCATATTTTTACACGGGAAATAGGCAAAGAAATAGAAAATTACAACTGTAAATCACTTACAAATTTTCCGAAGTTTTTATTACAAAATCAATAAAAAGGTGAGATTCAGTGCTTGGGATGACATCACAATTTTGTTGATGAATATGCAACTTCACTTGAAAGTAAGACTCATGTAGGCAATTTCTAGGGTTATGGCAAAATAAATGTGTTGCATGGTCCGTTAAAGATATATTATGTGATTCACAGTTACATGTATTTACTTTCGTACACAGTTATTTACATTGGCATTTATGTTAGATGAGCATTTCCTAACAACATACCCCAGTGAACATTCTCGTGTAGCCATTTCTCTTAAGTTTGATGACAGTTCAATAAGGTAAGAAAAGGAAGATCGTAGTTTCGTTTTTTATTAAAGTTATAACATGTAAGACATTTCTAGCAGTGAAAGAATCTTGTCTATTCTCTGCATGAATACCCATTATTTCTATAAGAACCAGATCCCTGAAATCAACGTTAAAATCCACAACAGTGTAAAAGAGGAGTCCTATTACATTAGCGAGCAGAAATTTACGACATCATTATATTTCACAATAAAAAGTAACAATCCCTACTCAAAAAAATCACATGAAATCTTCGATTTTCTCAACGTGAAATAAAACTAAAACGATTTAATAGTAGCCTACGATACCACCCAAACGGTAGGTGAGGTCTTTAACTTGGCCTACATATAATGTTAGAATGAGCGTAAAAATTCCAACGTGAAATATGAAATGTCTTAAGCTCTATTATGTCTATCAATCACAGCTTGTAAATGGAAGTAATATATATAAGAGCTTATTCATTACACTTGCGTGTCCTTGGTGTCTGTTGTGGCGACTTTGTCAGACGAAGAGGGCACCGAGCGACTGCGCTCTTCAAGCGGTTTCGCCCTCTTGGACCGGCACTTGCCAAAGAAATTACTAAACAAGCGAGAAAACTCCACACGGAAGTCCGGATGTTTAGTTCCGTAGATGATAGGGTTCAGGCAACTGTTGGTCAGAAGCAGCACGGCGGTGAACGGCAGGGCTTCAAAGGCAAGAGAGTCTAGAGCAAGGACAAAAAAGTACGGGAAAAGGCACACGAGGAAGACGCAAACCACGAGAAAAAGATTCTTTGTGACGGCCAGCTGGCGCTTCGAGAGCTGCTTCTGGAGACTGGATGGCGTTCCAGACTCAGGGTTACCCTTCAGCATCACTGCCTTGGTCGAGCTCCGGACGAAGAGGAAAATCCTGATGTAGGATGCAATAACGATGGTGAGCTGGATTGGGTAGAACACCAACGTCACGAAAAACGAGTAGATGAGTCCATCCACCGGCGCAGACAGCCAGGTGCAGGTACTAAAACGCGGGTCGTAGCCAAGTTCAGCGTAATCAGAAAAGACGGGGATCAACGCTACAAAAATCGGTATGGCCCAAGCCATGGCAATCATCGCGGCTATCTTCCAGCGGGTGTAGATTTTGCGGTACCGAATCCTGGCCGTGTCGGTGACAGCAACCAGCCGGTTGACGGCGATCAAAGCCAGGGTGTTCACACTACACCCGATGACGGTAATAAGTCCGAAGGCGATACACTGGCAGAGCCACACGGGTATGATGAGTTCATAAGACAGGACCACCACGGCCGACAAGATGGCCCCACCGCACGTCGTAGAATCAGCAACCGCAAGGTTCACCACGAATACGTTGGTGACTGTTCGCAGCTTCTTGACAGACCAGACGAGGTAAACAACCGTTGAGTTCCCAAGATATCCCACGATCATCGTGATAAAAATGTACGCAGAAAACAGTTGACGTTCAGTGAATGTCTGATACGCCGAATACTCTGTAACATTGGCGGTGGCAATCGTAGTTCCATCAATGGCGAATAAGTCAGTGAGTGACTGATTGGCCGAATACTTGACTGGGTTGGTGGTTGCAACTGCACTTTCCTCCATCGTGTCCGTGGCAAATGTTTGTAATATTCTCTGCGTTGACCTTAACGTATCCTTTCTCTGTGGTACACACTTACAGTCTTCCAATTGAAATTTGAGCTGAGAGAACGATAGAACACCTGTGCTCAGTATGGACCTAACCAGATAAATGCGGCTTTTATACACGGCGGTGCGGCATGTGGACTAGCTGTTACTCCCTTTTCAAGGCAAACTGTAAGAACATCCCACAGAAAACAGGGCTATGGTTAACCCTGACTGTTCCGGTACGAGCACTTCACGTCGATGGCCATTGTTATCCAAAACAGCAGCTTTCATCCAAGGTTACCAGCGATATCCTGCCAGCGCAGCACTCACGGCTGCCTAGCGGGTCAATACACAATGCATTAGAACGTAAAACACCACAGCGTGTCTCGCTGGCAGTGATCACAGAGCTGGAAGAATCATTCGCTTACATGATCCATACGATTGGTTACCTCTTTTTTTTCTATAAATTTGTCCTGAATTTGTGATTCAGACTTTGATTAATAATGCACATGTTGTCTTTTTTCACTCATTGTGAAAGCCTGAAAGGCATTTGAGTCACCGAAGAACTTACGAGTTGTAATATTTAACGATCCGTTTTCAGGTCAGCGTGCAGCTGTCAAGTTTTCAATTTTAAACACGAGTAACAGTTGCTTACAGGTTTTCTGCGCAGCATCCGTCGTTTCGGTAACAATGTTTCTGTTACGAAGGGATTAGTAAAGGAGGGATAGTACAAAAGGTCTACCCATGTGTGCCCCTAAATTGGAACAAAAGCTCTTACCAGAAAAATCACTGTCATGCAAAACCTACGATTTCCGTGTTATATTTCATGTGCTTCATTACTACCATCCGATCTGTATCTACATATCCAGGACTTGAATGTAGATCTTTGACGGCACCGGGCCTGTGTGAGATGAATAATGTCTTTCTTTACGGAGGAAGATAACAGAATGATTGTCCGTTTTTAATGAAAAAGAATTGGACAATGTGGAAAGTAATCATGTGCGGACAGACTAAATGGACGTTTGTTTGAGCATCAGTGGAGGAAGGACGCAGGGAGTTTAAACTGGCCGGGGTATAACATCTGACCAATTAACGCTTTCTGCATGGCGTACCCGCGGTACGTCCGTAGCCAAAGCGCACCATATGTTTCATAACCATGAGACCCCTTTTTTCCCCAATGATCATCGACGCAATTTTTCGCTGGTAATCTGCGTCCTAAAACTTTGCTTAGTGAAATTGAATATTCATAACTTCATCGGTGCTTGATATGATTTCTTGGCAGCATAAAATTCAATGCTTGCGCACAGTTGCTAGTGTTAGGCAATGGGCGGAAAATGTTCATGTGCAGTTAGTGCCCTTCTTTTGGTTTCTTTTGGAGTTCTTTTGTGTTGAAAATAGTCAAGATGTTTGATTGAAATCGTCTTTATGACTGCATTTCTAAAAACGTGCATTTTATGAGATTTCATCATCACTCCTTGTGATGAAATACCGGTAGCGGATTTCATTCGTTTTCGAGTGGTGGTCAACATGTTGTTTGCCAGTGTTAGCCAGATTCGTACCAAGTCGTGGAAAGCTGATATTTTGGAGTGATAAAAACAAATTGCGAGCATTGTATGGATAATAGAGCCGGGCATCAAAGTAAAATTTGTATTGACGGTGACAACAGCAGGTGTAACGTAAGAGATTTTTCTCTCTCTATTTCCTGGTTACAGCAATAGGTTGCAGTTAATTGAAAGCGAAACACCACGAGTATCGCTGGGAAATTCCTGGCCTGACTTTTCCGGTAAAGCCCAGGCAGTAATTGGGCAGGTACGGCATGCTTTCTGGTTATTCGTGTGACCAGCCGGCGATGATCACTGAGCACTTTGAAGTGCCAGAGTTGTAACTCCTTCTGTGTCCTTCCTCCATGCTTTGAGCGTGGATCGGTTGAATTTTCTTGAGTGGCCGGCATATGCCATTCCTAAGTGCAAGAAATTGTTATTGCAATAAGAACTTAATGTGACTTTGAAATCAGGTGACAAGGGAGGCCCGTGTTGTAGCTTTCCCCTGTGCTTCATGCCAGTGTTTTTGAAGTAAACATTATGTTAGGGCATGTTGCTGCGGTCCGATTTTATTTCCATGTGTGCAGACTCTATTTTCCTAACTTAAATATCAGCATAATATGAAAACCTGAGCAATTTTTGGTTTTTCCAATACACATTTGTTTTTCATGAAATCTTATTGATACAAAAATAAATTTCAAAAAAGCCACTGACCTGAAAACGATCCACACGTTTACAATACGGTTGAACTAAAAGGCACACTAGCGAAATGCACCTATGCGCGAGGCACGCTAAAATGCAGCTGGCAAAACCACATTCCATCAAACAATCAAGTTCAAATATTATCGCTCAAGCATCGATCGGAACAATATAAAAAAAACTCTCCCGTTCATTTTTGAAATTTCACGGAGCAAATCGGCATACAACTCCGTTGACAATCCATACTCCCCTTACTGAAATCTTAAGCGGCTGCTTCATGGGCATGCGTATGATCGACGCAAAACATAAAGTTTTATTCCCTTTGCTCTAGGGTGCAGGCGACCAACTCTCCATTATTGAGTTTAACGTATTTCAGTTAGTGTGATAACACAACAGACACTAAATATATTTTATTCACACATCTAGACTTATTCTAACGGAAAGTAGCTACAATGAACAGGTACGCCTAATAGACGTTCGTTTAGACGCATTGTCACTGAGTATTCAATTTAAATGTCAACTGTGGAACTCATTTGCCCGCACAAGATTGGGATCTTACAGCTAGATGGGTTGGCTAAAAACTTAGCGTGCTGATGAATAAGTCATCATTATAACAGCTCTGTAATTATGCTAGGTCTGTTTTACAGTATCATTTACATCAAAGACAAGAGTACAGCGTAAGCTGTAATAACAGATTTTCATTATTCCCCATTACTATATTTAACTGCTTGCAGTTTGGCGAAATATTTTCTCCCTTTTCAAATTAACCCGTGTCTTAAAAGTTTCCAGGAATCTTGAGATAGTTCACATACATTCCTCCGACATTACCCTGGTGTCATCACCGTGTAGCCATATTTCTAATGTATAATCACAATTTAATAAAGTAAAAAGAAGAAAGTAAGAAATAGTGAAATTTGTGCTTTTTTCAAAGTTTAGACAGTAACGTACTAAGGTTTCCCTGGAAGTACTTCTATATACCACTATCTCTTCAACTGTTTCAAAAGGTTACATACACGATTATTGTGGCCAATATAGCAATTCCCAAATCAGTGTTATACAATAATAAAAAAGCCCAAACCTGGCCGAAAGTCACGGCTCTCTCTTGACTTCCCCAACGTGCAATACAAAAGTGACTATGAGTACGATGTCGCCTAACGGCAGATAAAATCTTCACATGGAACTTATGTCGGTTGAATATTGTTAAAATGCGGCGCGGTATGTCTTTACAGTAGGATTACCACTCAGGTGGTGCAAATATCAACTAGTGTCTCCTTTTTATCCGCGATGGCGATTTTTCCAGGTAACGACATCACCTGACGAACTGCCCTCCTTTGCCCTCTTTGGTGGGCACCTGTCAAAGACAAGGTTGAACTAGAAAAACCCGACGGTCATCGTGATGAAGATTGTACGCAGATAACAGTTGGCGCCCAGTGAATGTCTCATACACCGACTACTCGGTCACATTGGTCGTAGCGACTGTAGCTCCATTCATGGAAAAAGGCCGGAATATTCTCTGATTCCCTGTGTGTATTTACAGTCTTTTCACTGAGATGAAATTCTGCGCGATATTTGAGCTAGCAAAACGACTGAACACCCTTGTTTGCTGTGGCGACGACCAGGAAAATGTGCGGCCTTTATATGCCCACACGGCAACCGATTTCACCCTTTTCTTGGCAAACTTGGACCAACACAAAAACACCAGTGCCAGGGTTTAACCCTGATTGTACCGGTGCAAGCATTCCAGGGCGCTTCGCGGCCAAAGTTACAGCTTGCAATATTTACAGGTTTCACCCCAGGCTACCAACTATCTGCTGGAATGTGAAAGTACAAGAAATTAATTTCTGTGAAATTAATCACGGCATGGCACGTGCTTAATTAGCTTGGTTAGCGTCTGTCATTGGCGGACGTGACCGATACGACTGGTCACATATTTCTGTATCCTCTAATTTTCTTTATATCTGTCCTCTAGGATTTTGATTAATGGCGCACTTTTAGTCATATTTTCAAACTGTCTGAGACGGTTGAATCACTGGGATTTGTAGCCTCCCTGGGCATCAGTATCTCAACAGTCCCTGCGGATCAGCATAGTTTTCAAGATAACTAAAGTACATTATTGGCGAAGCAAAAAAAAAAAAAGTTATGAGAACTTAACGTTCGACTTCTACAGATGAACTTGGCGGAACATGTTTGGATCGACAGTTTAAGTTTAGAAAGCCGTCAAACATCTCCAGTGAGATAATAAAACTTATATTTCACGACTCCTTTGCATACCATTTACCAGGTGTCAAGTTTAAATACAAGGAAAAGTTGTAATGTGATCTAAAATTAAGGTACTTTATATTCTTCACCTATACCGCCCACCTGTATAACACTTTTAGATTTTGAAAGTGGAACATTTCGCTATTCCAAAGTTGTAATCGAGATCAAGTAGGAGTTTCCCGGGATTCTTAGGATTATTTTTGGAGAGTCACCACTCTTTTAGTTTTCACTGTTACTTTCTCTCCGCGGCCGCATGAACTAAAAAAAAAAAATTCTAACTGTATTAATATACAGTTAGAATTTTTTGTCGCTTAGTCAAAAACCACATTTCGGCTGTTATGCAAAATGTTCAGATGTTATAGTTGTGAGCATCAGTCAGTATATTATACGTATTGCAAATGCACGCTAAAGGTGATATCAGGTCACCCGCAATGACCTCATTATAACGTCACAAACATTTCGACAGGTAAACACCCACTTCAAACACCGCGGCCATCGGTATCAGAATTTGGCTCCTCGTGGTGTTGATCATCAAAATATGGTTTGAGCATTCGTACATGCTCTAAATCCATATTGCTTATGAAGGTCCATGCTGTTGCGCTCAGTATTTCTAGTTTGGTTCTGGCCCTAGACGACAGTGCTGCAACGTAGCTTTTGAATGTATACCTCTCCAGGGTATCTTTGTGAGGCATTATCCCTATAACTACTTGGTTTTCCCTCCCTGCAAAGTTTTCCAAACTCTCGATACGAATGCACTGACCACGTGTAGGGACTTCATGCGTTCCATGTATGGCGTGGACATTTGGAAGAATGTGAAAAACGATCAAACGACAGAAACCTGCATGCTGGACATCAATCAAACGAAAGATGTGTTCCGGCACAGTGACAGGTCCGAGGAGGAACTCTGAGACAGAGTAAAGCTTCTGGAGATTTGTCATTTCCTTCGTCTTGGGCTGGAGAAGTGACGATTTGCGCTCTTCCAAGATGTCCACGGCTTCAGTAAAGTGGGGTCGGCCACTCTGCACGAACGCCCTGTAAAGTTCACACAAATACTGCCATTTTTCCTCGAACAAGCGGACAACCATGTCTCTGACAGGTGCTGTGTATCTGCCTCTGTCTGACAGAAGACGTCGCAGGAAGAATGGGGGACAGGCGGTATCCTTGCTTGCAAAGCAAGGCAATGCTAGATTAATCTTAAAGTTTGTTTCTTGTTCCCCTCTGACACCCCTCTCAAGTAACTCTTTGGTAAGGAGGCAAAAGAAAAGCACGGCATGAAACACTTGAGGACCGGGCACCCCATTGCCTTCTATTCCGAGATCTATGAGTTGGTTATTTATAGTCCGGTAAACTGCCATGCACTCTTTTTGGAGAGGTGTCGACATGCAAGTATCCAGTGCGGTCCTGTCGCTGTCCCGGTCGTGGCGAAGGAGAGAGATCTCATTTGGACTGTAACTCAATGTTGTGAACTTCTTAACGGTCTCCCTCAACGACTCTGGCGAAAGAAGGGTTGGTCTTATCAGAGGTTTTTGACCCTTGAAGTCATGTGCGGTTGTAGGAAGTACACCGTAACACTGCGTTGAGACAAAGTTTTTGAAGAACTCCGTAATTTCCTCGGAGTTTCTTATGATTACATTCAGTGTTACCGTTGTGCCATTGCTCTCCTTAATGAACTGTCTTAGTGTCTGGTAGTAGTGTTCCTTCTCAAGACTTTGCGACTCATCGCAGATAATCACCATCCTGTTGTCTCGCTTTTCACGTAGCCAAATGCAGAGACATTTCAACCAGTCAACTTGGTAGTTCTCCTGCCTCAACAATCCAATTGGAGGCGTCTCCCGCACGGCCAAACGCCTCATCTCTGGTGTGAGATGGCGGATGTCTTCCTTCACATTGGAAGCAGGAACATTTCTCCGGCTGAGCAAGTTTTGTGTGTCATCCAGAATGAGGTACTTGACGTTTTCAGGCATGCTCCCATCTTTCAGCATTTGTATAATATCTCTGAATGCTTCAGAAAGGCAGATTTTGCTTCCGTGTAATGAGGTGCTCCTCGGAAAGGTCAGGTCTCTGGAAGGGTCCAAAGAAAGGGATTGCTCACATTTGATTCAGATATATGTTTGGAAGAAAATTCTTTGACAACAATATTTCTCACATTCTCTTTACAAAATTACACGGGGTCTTTTTCGTGTAAAACACGACAAAAAATGACTAGTGGCTGACTATGGCTAGTCTGCTCTGAAATCTGACCCTCGGTCAATCGAGCCACATTGTGTCCAATTAGTTGGGTACTGCCCACTGCTCTCGTGAATTTGTTCTTCCTGGGTTCTTTGTGAGAGTTTATCCAAACCCTCTTCGGCCCAGGGTTAAGTTCTCCAAACATCTCAATATTCAGGGTACGGCCTTCATGGAAATGATTTCCATTGTTGCCCACAGTTTTAAGTAACTCGGTTTGATTCACAGGCACTCACGTCTGAAATGTACCTCAAGTACCGTTATGCAATTGGCACCCCCACGAAAACGTAATTGGTCAATATGAAGGAGCGTTTGCACTAATGGAATAGCCTGTTTAGAAATAGCAACACCCACCTCACATATTTTGCCATTTGCACGTTGGAGGGAATGTACAGGATCTCTTCTGCTTGGGCCCCATCGAGACGTAGTTGCTTAGCTCTCTCAACACCGACGACTGTCTTCCCAGTGCCTGGGTAACCCTGGATACAGACGTATTGGTTTTCCTTGCATTTCGAGAGTGCCAGGAGCTGAGACGGAGTCAAGAGGTTCATCACCTGGACTCCCATTAAGTCTTTCATGTACAAGTAGGTTTCCGGTGTAAATGCAGCGATGGCGATGACGAGACCGGCGACGATTGCTTGCAGTTTCTGAAGATGCATCTGGTGGTAGCTGGCCGGTTTGTCCTGTGGTCGGTGACCCAATATGCTTTCCAAGATGCCTGGGACAAGTTCCGGATCTGTCAACTGGTCATACCAGTAGCTTTTAATGAAGAACCGACCTTCTCCACCGTGCCTGGTAAGACGTTCTTCGAGTTCTATTGCGGCTTCCCTGGAGTACCTCTCACCCTCATCCGATGACATTGCGGTCCCCAAAGTTACCAGAAACGGAGTCTCTGTTTCTGTGAACACTAAGATATCGCACGTGATATTTGTGCCATCTTCAGGTCTTGGGATGCCAATGTCAACTGCTATGCACCGAGAAATGACACAGACTCCCTTTGTGGACCTAAACTTAACCCTCAGAGCAGAAATGACACTGTCGAGGAAGGGAGCAACTTCGGGATGTACCAGACTATGGTAAGTCTCCGGCCAAATGTGAACACCTTCCTTTACTGGTAAAAAAGGCGACAGAAATGTTTAATGTTCTGCCTGCCATTTCACATTGATTTCACATTAATTGACTTACGTGGATATTGTAGACATTATAATATTAAATAGCTTTAAAACCACCTTACTTGTGAACATCCTTTCTTGTATTTCCCTGCGAGCGTTCTTCAGAGCAAAAACTGTGCAACCTCCACAAATATGTGTACTGAGCATTTCAAATTTGTGACTCATTTCGTCACTGCGTCTTTTTTCTGTAAAAAATAATTAAGTACATAATCAATGGAAATAAGAAGGGCTTGTAAGAGGTAGACTAGGTTGTTGCACTATGCGTGAGGGGAAAACCTACAAAATGGTGCATTCAATAATCTTTTAATTTTTTTAAATAAAAATATGTATTTTTACAAACCTGTTATTTTTTGTCTCATCATGGCTTCCATCCAATCATCAATTGCCATATCCACGGGTACTTTCTCACCATTGTCGTTTACTTCAAAAGTGTAAGATTCGGGGGCTTTTTGAAACACTCCACCATAGAAAGGGTTAACTCGAACCTCTACGAGGTGCTTACCGCCCCCCAAGGGGTGGAAGTAGACATCCCAGTGCTTTTCGCGGACGGGGACCTCTTGCCTCCTGCCCCAAATCTTCCGCCTGGCGCACTTGTCGAGACACCTCTCTATCTCAACCTTTGTTTCTTTGGGAATCGTCTGCCCGACCACCTCGTAGTTTTTGTTTTCAATGCCTATGACGATCCATCCACCATCGTGGTTTGCGAAGGCTCCAAAATAATCCGAAACTTGTTTTTCAATATTCGAAACCAACCTCTCCCCGTCTTTCAGTTTCTTATACTGGACCGTTTTTGATTCTGGTGTTTGGACGGTGTCGCCGAGTTTTAGGTCTAGAAGTCCCGGAAAATGACTAAAGCCGCGCCTAGTAACAACACTTGTAGTTGACGAAGATGCATGTGGCCCGTCAGCTCTTCGTAAGTGTTCATCGAAGTCGAAATACGGTCGACCCGCTGATAGGCTCTCTGCCTCCCTCGATAAGATGCTCATGACTCGGTGATACCCGTCCACAAGCTCCGTGCTCGTATCTGTTGGCAACCGGAGGTTGAAGTTGATAGTGGTTGGTTGCGGGGTCGGCGTTGTGTGGCAGTACAGATACTCGACATCTTGAGGCAGGTCGCAAAAGTCAAAGCACTTTCGCCACTGCGATGTTTTCAGCTTCGTGGAGAGTTCCCCCTCGATTCTCTGTTTCCACTTGTCAAGATGTCTCTTAGTCAAGCCTAATTTCTCTTGGTCCATGTTCCTCAATATCAGAACTTCCCTTTTGGGTGAGTTTAGAGCGGCGCACACCGCACGTAGTAACCCTTCCATCTCCAGTTTCATCTTTGCGACATCATCATTTGTAGTTGCCGTAGAATTCATGATATGAATGTTCATGGCGAACGGCCGAATTTCCTCGGGTACGGTTTTGTTCGGGGTGGCCATATTTTTCCCCCTTCAGGTCTCAGATCGAAACCTACAAAAATATACGAGAGAAGGTTTTACAGAAAGCTTAGTAAAAGGCAGATACGTGTTAGTGGAATGGAACAATGACAGAAAAACAGGCGAAATTTTGATGAGAGGTAAACATAAATATACCTAACAATCTAATATTTGGGCCGAAAAAAAATGTCACAAAACCTCTTTGAGGGGGATAATTTGGAAAGGCCAGCAGGCCTGAAGACCTGAAGAATCAATCAAACGAAGAATCTTGTCCATTGTGGACAGGCCTTCGGACTACATTTGTAAGGTCCTTCACGTCCCTCGATTAGAATCAGAAGGAATGACTCACTCAGGAAACTTTAGTTCGAGAGGGCGGAAAGACTTTCAAACTTAGAAGCTTTGACTATAAACAGGCCTATAATAATGAAATAAAATAAGATGAAAGGAGTACATGTATGAAATGAACAAGACACATTAAAAAATCGCAGAAAAAGAAAGGAATGTTTCAGTTGAAAGGAACCTTTTTTAATCGCTCCGAACATCAAATCGAAATCGCGGCAAATCGGAAAATCAGAGATAACATCAACCCAAAAGAACGTCTGAAATGGTGTACGTAACTACAATAAGAGCGTTGTCATTGTACGTGACGTTTTAATAACTCAATACCACATCTGCGATTTCTGTGTCTATCAAGTCAATTTTGTTCGGTAATAGAATAATCGACACTTGTCTAAGTAGGGTTACTTCACAAGAGTGGTTTTAATTTAATGGCCAGATGACTGAGTCGCTTACCTTTCAAATGTTCTATTATTTAAAGTCTTCCCTTCGAAGCTCCTGCGGGTTTATTTTGCTTTGGAGCTTATTTCGAAATCGAAGAAGGGTCTCCTATCCGAAATTCGTAGACCAAAAGTTGAGCAACTTGCTCCCACACCCTCTGTAGGGAGTAAGTATAGAACCAAGCTCGTACATGTTGCAATTTCTCGAGCTGTCCCTAGTAGTACATATGCGAACTCCGATTCTCGAGCATTGTGCAGTATTACAGCCAACACGCTGAATTTGAACGTGTGTTGAATTGCCATACGGCGCCCGGCGTGCTGTACATTGAATCGCGGGCCGGGGAAATTCACGTGCTAAATATAGACTGTTTACATTCACATAGTTGTTGACTCAAGCATGAAACAGCCTGTGAAACATGGCCATGGTCATTGTAATGAAAATACATGTATACCGTATCGTGTATTCAAGTGTACACCAACGCGCATGCGATATGGGCCCTGATAAGAACACCGGTAGTATTAGTGCGGACTTTGCTCTTCACTAACAGCATTTAACATAATCTGACTGCATTGTACCCCAAGTCGACCTTTGCAAACTGATAATCGGTGTCTGCACAACGTCATTTATGTATGCGGACCTACGCCATCGTCTAGTCACAATATCAGCGCTGAGAAAGCATGTACCGTGAACTCGAGGCAGAGCACGTCAACGTCTGCGAGCACTAAGCCACAATATCATTGCTGAGAAAGCATTCACCGAGCACATAGGGCTTATAATTACCATGTTTGTGACTGCAAATAACTGCATGCACCTGTTCTTCGCTGGCACGTCTTATCTGTCGCTCCATTAATGATCCTGATGATCCTCTGCTGCGACTATTTCAGAGGAATTAAAGGCAACGTCTGGTGAGGTGTGTCCCCGGCTCGCTTTCAGCTCACCTGGCGCAATTTGCTCTCTGTGGATTAACACTTGTACTCATAGCGTAGAATCATACCAGGGAGACACAGGGAACAAGAATAATTCGCGACCTTTGGCCGAGAGAAACAGTGATGTTTTTCTCGTAACATGTGACACGACTGTGAACTGCCAGCAATGACGCGTGACATTCTGTTGTTAAGGCCTACTTTCGCTCTCCATATGGTTCCACTATTGTGACTTTATTGGTTATGACCATGATACGTTTGGAAAAGTAATTGCCTTTTGTAGTTTTGATTATTTCAATGCTTGGTTAATGTGTTTTTGTTGCACCACCCATGGCAGAAAACATGGGAAGCCCTGTTGAAATTGCTATAGATGTGCATATAATGAAGAAGAAAGAAGACATTATACAGGAAAAGGAACTCATTACCAGGACAATCACTGCCATTTCAAACTTTGGAAAACGTGGCGTTATCAAAATGAAAAACTTACAACGTCATGGATGGACAAAAAAGAGGGGACATGAAAAGGTAACGTCGGGGCACCTGGACCAATGGAAAAAGATCGTTGATCAGGAAGTGGAGAAATTGCAACTCGAAGGCAGTGTACATGAATTCTGCTCCCAACCATGCGACTCGGAATACCTGTATTGCCACGTGATGCCAGCACCTCGGCCAATCACATTTGATTATAACCTTCACGTTGTATCTACTTGCGGCAAAGACGCGAGAAAAGTTCGCAGTTTTGATGAAGCAGTGGGTTGTTTGACACGCGAAAGAAAATCAGTGATCCAGGCTCTACCCACTGCAGGCCTGCAAACAAACAACAATGCCCAAGTTCATGCCACCACCCCAACCTTAAAGACTGTCCACTTTAAACTTGTCAGTGTTTTACAGGAAAACGAACAATCCTCTCTCGACGAAGAAAAAATGACGATAATGCTAGGGGATGAACTTCCAAAGCTTATGAGTGCTCTTGCAAACGCCGACGGCGGTGACATCCTAATCGAAGATGGTGATGGCATATTGAAGTTAGCGGACGGGGAGGTGTCTGAGAAAGATCAAGACATCATCACGCGATGTCTTACGGACTTCTTCAGTCGTAAGATATGGGGAAGGAGGAGAATTGCACCCAAAAGAGGAGACCATTGGGAAGTCGTTTTTCCAATTGTAGGTCCAGACAGGGTAGTCTTCACTGTCAGGGTGGACGCTTTTTATGGCGGCGTCTTTGAGAAGGAGCCGGTGGCCTATACGTTAAAGAACGAAGGAAAGACAAGTAAGGAAGATTATGGCGCATACGAAATTGCACAAATGGACTTTGAGGACTGGTGTAACGCTGTGTTGAAGCGGCATACTGAAGGTACATCTAATTTATGTTTCTGTTGGATAAATAAATTTATGCTGATAGCCTAAAACGGCAATTTATGCTAGTTGCCTTTTGTAATAATAAAACCAAAGTATTGCTGAACATTTCTTAGTTCACAATTTGCAATTTTTTGTTAATTCAAGGGAGTTGAGTGTCAAATTTTGTCGCGAATCGCTCACGTTCACACCCGCGTTAATAATGTCTACAATACTCGCTTGTTATATTTACACCATCAAACGTTAATACTGAATTTAACTTTTTTCCATTTTTATTCACCATTTCAGGAGAGCAGGAAATCCAGGATGCGACCAAGAGGCTCCATAACATCCAAGCACGTGCCTCGAACCCAGTGTGCATGTCTAATGAGATGACGTCATACTTTGATATCACTCAAAATCCCACTAATTAAACATTGTAGTTGGTTTTTGGGATGAATATGTCCTCTGAAAGACCCCTTTTTCCATGTCGATATCTCATTACGCTTAGAAAAGCTACAAAAGAGGTACCTTTTTCGAAAAAAGAAAAATTACCGAGATTTGCAGTGTCGTTTAGGTTCTGGGAGGAACCTGTGGTAACAACTCGACGTTTTGGTCAGTGTGATGTGATCGTCTCCAGGAGAAGGCGGCACTCTGCTGCATCTTCAAGTACTGACAGAGGGATGCCCGATGAAAGTTTGAAGGCAAGAGAGCTGCAAAACTTTTAAATTATTTCAAATGAAATTTGGGATCACATAATGTTCTCTTTTTGTGATGAAGTGATAGTCACAGATCAAGGTGCTATAGGTGTGCGTGCAGCTTCAATGGCATTGAAACCAGCGTGAATCTAAGTTTTAAAATGGCACTTCTTTTTCTTTAGAACTGAAGTAGATCTTCCCCTTTTTATTTTTGCCCTGTGATCTCCTTTTTCTTACCCCCTTGCTACTACCGAGAGTAAAATATTACTATCGTGTACGAACAAAAACATTTTTATACAAACACTGCATTACATTTCTACAGAAGCTTTTCCTCGGAATGTAATTTATATATTCTCCATATTTCACCTAGGAATTAATTAGTCACTTATTAAAAAACATTGAAAGAGATACCCGGCGTGCTTGAACCAACAAAATACAAAATTAGAATTCTTTTGTGTTAAATAGAGATTGGTAAAAAGCTAAAAATTCTTATTTCAGCAGTGTTGCTACTTCTTCGATTCATACTATTTTCTGGTAATAATCTCTTTTGGAGAAAGGGGGTTGTTGGTTTCACGCAGTTTGATGTTTGGCATCAGTGCAAAATCGTTATGAATCTCACAGCAGGAAACCCGTGAAGCCTAGCGGCGCATGCGCTTGAGGCTGGAACCGGTTGTACCTCCTCACATGTTTCCACAGTAAGGTTGTCTTGTGACCCGCGGTCAGGGAGGGACAACCCGGAGTGGCATATTTCTGGTTATTTTCCCATTGGGGAACTAGGTTTACATGTTCACCTGGACTTGCCTTTGGATATTTAAGGAGTTTGATGTTAAGAATGGCAAGACACGGTAAATTCAATAATTCAAAAGCCATTCACTTTGAGAGCAAAATTACATAATTCCACCGAATACAAAAGTTAAAGGCACGAAAGATACACGGACTAAAGCCTGTACAACAACAACAAATACAGATTGAGTGGCAAAATGCATCCTTATACACGTAGGCCTGTCTGTTTTTTCGTGCAACACAAGAACAGTCATTTTGCCCGAAATAACGAATTTCTAACCACCTCGAACCTTCCTACCAATTACAATATATTGATGTGATGTTAAGATAATTATTATCCAAGGATTAGGAGTCTTAATGAAATGGTAAAGATTATTTCAGAAACGGTGCAAGTTCATATCACCTTGCTGTTTACAGAGATAACTTTAAAGGATGCAGTAGGGTAGTTTCGTTAATCTCAGTTTCCAGGAGATGAAGATTGAAAATTGAGGACTGGGATAAGATTCATTTATACGGTTTGAGTACACTGAGAAAATTTAACGTCAAAATGCTCATATCTAGTTTAAACCAAAAGTGGTGTTTCCCAACCACCGATGTTTAGCTCATTGAAACAGCTAAGAATCATTATTGTTTATTATTCCAATACAAAATTACAAGGTTGTTAGATTTGCTTAATGTAGAGTTAATTCAACAGGGAACTTGTTACATTTGTTTTTATCAGCATTCAGATATCTGTAGTTTCATATAGAATTATTACCAAATGATAATAGGACTTAGTCTGAATCATAACCAGAATATTTATTTTATATCGGAGACCAGTCCCCAAATCCATTAAGATAAATAGCAAAGGATTTAATTTTGTGCGACTATTCTACTCGACAATAGCTGATATAAGTTAAATATTAATTCAAATGTACCAGTACAAGTTCACAAATCACACCTCTCACTAAAACACGATAAATTTATTTTCAAAAAAGTGTGAATTCATTATGTACCATCATTTTAGCTGTTCTGCTCGAAATTGAATTATTTGCAGTCCATGTACAAACATCACTAATTTCATTTGATGGACATCACTCTGGGAGTTGGGCGGAAGAGGCCCTGTGCACTGAAAACGTATGTCGTTTAAAGTTTACGACAACCGAAAGGTAGGTTTAACGTGGTCCTTTCTCCATTTGAAACAGTTTGTGCTTTACCAAAACATGCAGCTGTTCATCTTCCCCAGCTTTCCACACAAAATTGGAGTTGTCTCATGCGTGAGTTTGTTCGGTGGTTGCAGAGCTAACTGACTTGAGTTGTTGTTTTGACGTTTCCTTCGTGTCCTGAGTCGATTTTGTCTGCGACGTCTTCCTTACCTTCCTCCTACAGGGCAGCACGCGGGCAAACGCTGCCCTGAAATCCGGGTGTTTTGTCCCGTAGATGATGGGATTGACGCAGCTGTTGGCCATGAGGATCGTGGACGTGGTGGGCAGAATGTTGTCGACCAGGCTGGATGGCAGTGCGACTAGGAGGAAGTAGGGGGAGATGCAGAGTAGGAAAACGCACACAACCAGGAACAGGTTCTTGGTCACCGCTATCTGGCGTTTGAGGAGCTGCTGTTGAAATACCCGGTTCCCCGTGCTGGCCTCTCCGGCCCTATCTTGCCTAAGGGTTGATTTCGTTGTTCCCCTCACAAACAGCCAGATTCTCAAATAGCTCGCGAAAAGAATAGCAAATTGCAGGGGGAAATACACGACGACCACCACCATCGAGTACCTAGGCTGGTATGCCCTGTTTGAGCGCCAGGAGCACGAGTGGTAGACTGGGTTGTATCCGAGCTCGCCATAGTCAGAAACAAAGGGGATGATGGCCACAGCGGCAGGGACAAGCCAAGTCAGAACGACCGTCATAGAGAGCTTACAAGGGGTGTACAACTTGCGAAAGACGCTGTGTGTTGCCGTCGTGATGCCTACCAGACGGTTGACAGCGACGCACATCAGGTTGTTCACGCTGCAGCCGACGCACACGAGTATTCCGAAGGCCATGGCTTGGCACACGGCAACGGGAAAGACAAGTTCGCCTTTCAGGAACACCACACTCTGCAGAATCGCGACGATGCACGTCAGGAAATCCGCCGCGGCCAAGTTCACCACGAAGACATTGGTCGTCGTCTGCAGTTTCTTGACCGTCAGGACGGCGAAAACGACGGCCGCATTTCCGAGGAGGCCGATGGATGAGTCGAAGAAAATAATCGCGGAGAGGACCTGGCGTTCGACGGAGGAACGATAGACGCGTGGGTCAGTAGTGGAATTTGGAAATTCGTTGGACATCTCGGATGAGTTAGAGGAGCTAATATTAATCAACCCTTCCATGTTCTCTGGCAGTTTACAGGTGTCAAGTTCTTTATTATATGATTAATTAGACGTATTAAGGCGGGAAAACGTTGTATGCCAAACTCTTTAAGTCAAATAATTTCAATGACTGCTGCAATCCACTTCCATTTTAAAATTTGGAAAATGGTACCTTGCAGTCTCTTCGTTATTGCAGAGGAGCAAGTGTTCAAACAGGTGTCCCTCTAGATCGTAAAGATGATTCTAGCCCAAACCATATCGTGTGCGGATTTCTCTATAAGCAGTGTCTTTTATACTAGCTTGCCGATCTCGCATGCCAAATTGCAACTGATGCTTAATGGCACGGGGACGGATGACTACCCAGTTCATTATCTCGTTCCTATCGAGGCCATTATAACCCTCATCAATGTCAAATGCAATTACCTACAGGGATGAGCGCATCATAAGCGAAAGGCACGGTGCCGCTGGAAGAGCCCTTGTATTTGTCCACTTCAAAAACAATTCCGAACAAAATTGTCCGCACGCGTCCACTTAGCGGGTGCACGGCCTCGCCTGCTTTCATACAATTAATTGTCATGGACATCAGTAGAAAAGAAAATAGAAACAAGAATGGAAATCTTATGAAGCCACGTTTGCCCTGGCTCAGGTATGCAACCTCATCCATCAAATGCCGTCATAAAGATAACTTGTTAAATGACTTCAATGGCAGCCCCTTTTAAAGGCTACTGTTACACAGTTATTAAGATATCAATTAAGCGGAGCTGGCCGGAGTGGAGGCGTTCGGCTGTCCGTGAATCGATCACTTAAATCTCTCATAGCACAGGAAACCTCAATGCTTGTGGTGCCAGTCCTTTTAAAATGCCCTTGAATGAAAGGGTACGATTGGGTAATTTGATAGGTTGTGAAACTACGCATTAGTGAAAAGTTGAAAGGTTTGCTGGACTTATTACTCATGACTTCGTCTCTGCGTGAGTGGATATGTAGGCTACCTGCTTGAATGCATGTGCATTTATGTAGAGTTTGACAATAACTGTGGTTCATTTATTTTCTGTAGGTGTGTTTTTACAACCTGCCTCATAAAACAGTTGCCTTGCAAACTTCGGATAGTTCGTTTCAGAAATTTAACCGTATTTGACCATTGCAAATTGGCACTTTGGCGAGGTCACCCGTTGTCAATTCGCAATTGCCTTTTTTATTCACCATAAGCGTTCATTGGTGGAAATATTTCTGACTTCTTCACTTATTAACGTATTGTTGTAATTGGAGAATTCCAATAATGTCACTGAGTTGATCGAACTTTGCTCTCAAATGTGGCCTTTTATATTTTGGTTCCTTCAACTTCAGCTTCGCTAAGGTGTAGACATACGTTTTACTTTTTTCGCACTTTTATGGCTTATTTGCTCTGGTAACATGTTACTTGCTGAGGGAGTATTTTCCAAACGTAGCACAGATCGGTGCATAACAGCTCTGTGGAATTGGACAGCAGATTGCATTGGTTGGCGGTCAGTTGGCACAGCCCACTGTCGATAGGTGGCTGAGACAGACAGACAAACGCTTGGTCGGCTTCTGTTTTGTGCTTGTTTGTTTACCTGATCGATAATTTTGCTTAATTGCTTCCATTTTCGAAGCGATTTCATCGTACTGAAAACGACACCCATCTTCTCAATCACACAAAGCAAATCTGTGTCATTTTGTCTTCAATCAACCAGTCGTGTGTCATGTCAATAGTTTATTAACCTTTTCACGCTTACCACACCGTCCGAATTATTTAAATCATCTACTGCTTATGTGCTTTCAGGTTAATTTGTGGTACCGATGATATGAAGTGTCTCTTACAAATTGTCCGTGTTTTACTCCGATGCCAAAGATAACAGTTCATTGCTCAAAAAATTGCAGGAATGTTTGTACGTAGAGTGCATTAAATATAAACAATAAGTTAAACTATTAAACTAGTTAAACTAAAAAACTTCACTCTAAGCGCCTGTGTTCGAAAGAAAAAGAAAATCATATAGCTAAAAGTCCCATTTTCATAAACCCGAAATACTTATTTTCCTGTTATAACATTCCTGTACTAGTGATGCATTTGGTGAACAGTGCACTGCAGTGGGTGCGAATTTCAATAATGGAATATTATTAAAAGAGAAAGTAATTTTCATCTTCAAAATACAATAGGATATTATGTTGAAAAGTAAACAACCAGACAGTTGAACACAAAAATGTTACACCATCTGCTGAGGCATATTTGCAGCGATGGTTCGAGTGTCAGAGCGATTCTGTCCCGATAAAGCTGTCACCTTTGGACCCAGGTGATGCCTCTTCCGTCGGTAGCACAAGATGTAAGCAAATGCCATCCTGAAATCTGGGTGTTTGGTCCCGTAGATGATAGGATTGAGTGAACTGTTGGTCATGAGGATTGCCGCTGCGTAGGACAGAAGACTCCTGATGACGGGGATCGGTAGTCCAATCGTTGCGAAGTACGGGATCATGCAGAGGAGGAAGACGCAAACCACCAGGAAGAGATTCTTGGTCACTGCCACCTGACGCCTCCAGAGCTGTCGTTGAATTGCCTGCGAGCCCGACCCGATTGTGTCTCCGGAGCTGCTCAGTCTCAACATCGATTGAGTCTTCTTCCTCACGTACACGTAAATCTTCAAGTAGCTTGCAAAGAGGATGGTGAATTGCAAGGGGAAGAACATTATGGCAATAAGCTTTGCGTAAGTCAGATCGTAGGACGTTTTGGATTCCCAAGTACAGGATTTGTAGACGTTGTTGAAGCCGTACTCGGCGTGATCGGTGAAGAGCGGGATGGTGGCCACGGCTATGGGCACACACCACGACACGGAGATCATTAAAAAGAGTTTGAAGGGGGTGTAAAGCTTGTGGTACATCGCCATGGTGGTGATGCGAACTAGTCGGTTGACGGCGATGCAGGCAAGGGTGTTGATGCTGCACCCAATGCAGGTGACCAGACAAAACGCAACCAGCTTGCACGACCAAGGCGGGATGACCAACTCGTCGTGCAAGACTGTCAGGGCTTGCAGGGGAGACACGGTACACGTCAAGACGTCAGCCACAGCCAGGTTCAGAACGAACACATTGGTTCTAGTCTGCAGTCTCTTGAATGACAATATGGCGGTAATGACGGCCAGGTTTCCAAAGAAACCAACGGCCCCCACCACAAATCCGAACCCAGACAAGATTTGGCGTTCCAAGTAGGCTGAGTAGATAGATTTCACGCCATCGGAAGAATTGGCGCTAGTGACGCCATAGGTTTCATTGAGAACAGCCGAGAAATCCATGTTTCAAATGTAAGGAAAATCTCCACTGACTTTTGCTTGCATCTGATGAGCCCTTCCAGTTGCCTGTAGCATACTCTAGATTGTACGGTATTGTCATTACCTTTTTATCATTTTCCTAATTATAGGGGTATGGCATTGTTCTACCTGCCCTCATAAATTCCAATTACTTTGTTGAAATTCTCGGTAATGTGAATTGATAGGCAGGATAAATGCAGGTTATATCAGACTGTGCTATTGAAATTGGTTGCGATTCGGGACTTTTTTTGGCTGAGATTAAGAAAACGCGCCCCATTTCACGATGACCCTTGAAATTCCCGGTTATTCACCAGGTGAATTACCGGGAACGCACAACTTCCTGGTGATTATTGACATATTTCACCAACCATCGCCTGCACGTTATAGTGCGAAGGAGTTGTCCGTCTAAGCGACATTATTTCAGATGCTGCGTATGTAGGTTACATCGCGTCGTGTACTCTGCAGGTCCTCAAAAACTAATTTTAAAACGACAGAAACTTTTAATGTCGGTCTTAATATGTCATTGTAGAATTAGTTAGAAAACATTCTGTTTCTTTTGACTGTGATGAATTATAATGGTGGGTTTTGGTATGTCGTCACTGCTGTTGCTCCCTACTGTTATTATGGTGTCATACCTGCATGTTTCTTCTGTTGGTGCAGTGTAAATGGAAACAATCAACAGTCGTTGGTACAAATCAGCCTGAGCATGGTTTCTATTGACATCCAGTGTTTATTCATGTTCACATGGCGAAACCATGAAGGAAACGGGAAAAGGTAATTTTTGGTAAAGTTGGCACTGATGGCAAGTAATAAACTAATGTTTCATAAAACTTTCATAAACTAACATACCATAATAGTCTGCCTCTTCAGAAACTCCCCCACTCCCCCCAAGATGTAGATTTTGAGCCGGAGGGGTTAGAGAAAAGAAATTAATGTGTTTACAGAGATGTGACAATAACAAATATTGATTTTTTCAAGGTTCAAATATTTGAATATTACCATGATTATTAAATGTTTTCTCCTGCCTTTGCACACTGTCAGACACTTTCCCCATATTCTTTTGGTGCCCTGTTTGACTCCATGGCGACAAATTTCATTGCACAATCTGTATGAGATGTGCCCAACAGAGCAAGCATATAGGCCTATGTGCTGAGTTGGTCAATCTTTGTTTATACGTGCACTTTCTTATGGTGCCCATTGGGGCGTACGGTCCACCGAGCACCGCAGGAGAGCACACACGTTAACAAAGTACATGTACAGAGGGCGTCAGCATATCCAATGTGGGGGCGCTGTTGACATTTTTGCAGTGTCTCTAATGAGGTAACGAATTGCACACTGATGTTGAGCAAACTTGGATCAGTAGTGTTGAAAGGGTTAATGCAGAAAAAAGGAATATTTCTTGAATGACTTATGATGTCTATGAGACAGGATCAGTCTTCCATGATACTTTGCAGACATGCTGTATACACTGTTAAAAAGAAATAAAACCGTACAATATTTCCTGTGAAATGTATAATGTATGGTCACCTTAATATAAAGGGCAGATTAACGGAATTTTCAGCGGGAAAAGGTTAACCAACGCTTACCTTGCCGTTCAGCCTACGGGTGATCGTTGACAACCGTGGGTGTCGGGCAGTTTTCTACATATTCTGGGCTGCTTCTTACATTTAATATCAGAATCTTACAGCTTTCAGATCTTTCCTGCTACCCTTTGGGGTGGGTCGACCGCTCGCCTGCACTGAAGTCCCTCTGCCCCTCAATTTGAAATATGAGGATGTGGAATGGCTTCATGGCTTTTAAACTGCGACCAAACATCAAAAAAACATCCTCAAGAAAAGGTCCTCCAAGGAAATAGCACCATTTCTTTTATAGAAGCCGCGAAAACCGTGCTCTGGAAATAACAATTGTAAAGCTTATTATGACGAAGTGAACGAAAATGGTAACCCCGATTAAACCAAAATGCGCTTTCAAAGTACTCTTAAATTAGGGCAACGATTTAGAGACCTTTGAAAGCCAGCTACTTTGTGTTTTTTCTTCTCAATCAAGACTCCTTTTATTCCAGTGCTTAGTTAACACAAGAATTACATCACCACACCAAAAAAATGAAATCAAAACAAAGAGTTGAACAGAAGTTAGAGATACGATTTCAGTACACTGTCTTGAATATGAAATATTATTGAATCACTGAACTATTTACAAATAAACAACTTCAACAAAAACTTTGAAAAGGAACTGTGAAAAGGAACTGTGGAAAGGACACTATATATAGTTAAACTCTAGACACGTAGTTGTTTGTTTTCGTCAATATGACAGAGTACGTTATTCCAAGAAGTGCCAGGCTTGTTAGAGCCCATATGCCTTTCAGTTGTTTTTAGATTGGCATTCAGATCATTTTGTTTACACACAATTTTCACTTAATGGATTCAGAGATATGTTGGAAAAGCAAGGAAGGAATAATAATGGGAACAAAGAAGTCTGTAAGGAGAAGACCCCAAAGAACGTGCATAATAAGAAACTTGACTAACATGTCAATATGATAAACCGTTTTAACACGAAACAAAAGGAAAATCCAAAAAAGCCAACGTGGAGAAACTGGCAGTGCCTATATCCAAGACTACTGTGAAGTGAAATCCAAAACGCAGTCCTTTTTATCCAGTGATCGTCCAACTCGAGTCTGGAATAATGAAAGATTCATGTTATTCGTAGTAGAGGATACGTATTATCATTTCGTGAACATTGTCGTCACGTGGAGGCCATACCGTTTTCATTAATTAATCTCCTTAATCTAAAGTGTCTCTGCATTTTGTATGTAAATGACCAAGTGCTCTCAATCCCCAGGGATTTTGGCATGTACATAGTCCATTTTATGCTGTCACTCTACTTGTGAAATTAAATTCGTTTACTGCTTACATAATTGGCTTTCGTCCCAACATTTTATAGATGTTGGGATTTTCAGCGTGATATTTGTATCGTCTTGTTCTTTTTACCAGGCGTATCTCTTAAGAACGCAGTCGGTCGTTGGGTGCTATAAAGTGATTCTGTACGCTGACATTCCACTGGGACCCTCCCCCTTTTCATCCCCCAGTTTTTTTAGAATTTAGCGTTACATTGAAAGGTTGTTTCAAGGCAAATGAAAGCATTTTATGGCAAATGAGCATTTGAACACGTTTCTTCACACTACGAACTGCTGGTGGCGTTTATGTTCCCATTTCTATCTTTACTTCGGCTGTTTACCTAAAGGGGGGTGTGCTAGAATAAAATACCCCCAAAGTATTTAAGATGCATTTGACACTTTAAATCGCCCCAGCTAAAACGGGAACATGTTTGTTATCAGGAGTGGTCTCGACTCTGGAGTNAAACTTTCATAGGCTAACATACCATAACAGTCTGCCTCTTCAGAAACTCCCCCACTCACGCCCCCCCCCCCCCTGTCAAAGATGCAAATTTTGAGCCGGAGGGGTTAGAGAAAAGAAATTAATGAGTTTACAGAGATGTGACAGTAACAAATATTAATTTTTTCAAGGTTCAAATATTTTGAATATTACCATGATTATTAAATGTTTTCGTTGTTTTCTCCTGCCTTTGCAAAGTCAGACACTTTCCCCATATTCTTTTGGTGCCCTGTTTGACTCCATGGCAGCAAAATTCATTGCACAACTTGTATGAGATGTGCCCAACAGAGCAAGCATACAGACCTATGTGCTGAGTTGGCCAATCTTTGTTTACGCATGCACTTTCTTGTGGTGCCCATTGGGGCGTACGGTCCACCGAGCACCGCAGGAGAGCACACACGTTAACAAAGTACATGTACAGAGGGCGTCAGCATATCCAATGTGGGGGCGCTGTTGACATTTTTGCAGTGTCTCTGATGAGGTAACGAATTGCACACTGATGTTGAGCAAACTTGGATCAGTAGTGTTGATGCAGAAAAAAAGGAATATTTCTTGAATGACTTATGATGTCCATGAGACAGGATCAGTCTTCCGTGATACTTTGCAGACACGCTGTAAAAACTGTTAAAAGCAAATAAAACCGTACAATATTTCCTGTGAAATGTATAATGTATGGTCACCTTAATATAAAGGGCAGATTAACGGAATTTTCAGCGGGAAAAGGTTAACCAACGCTTACCTTGCCGTTCAGCCTAGGGTGATCGGGCAGTTTTCCACATATTCTGGGCTGCTTCTTACATTTAATACGAGAATCTTACAGCTTTCAGATCTTTCCTGCTACCCTTTGGGGTGGGTCCACCGCTCGCCTGCACTGAAGGCCTTCTGTCCCTCTGCCCCTCAATTTGAAATATGAGGATGTGGAATGGCTTCATGGCTTTTAAACTGCGACCAAACATCAAAAAAACATCCTCAAGAAAAGGTCCTCCAAGGAAATAGCACCATTTCTTTTATAGAAGCCGCGAAAACCGTGCTCTGGAAATAAAATTATAAAGCTTATTATGACGAAGTGAACGAAAATGGTAACTCCGATTAAACCAAAATGCGCTTTCAAAGAACTCTTAAATTAGGGCAACGATTTAGAGACCTTGGAAGGCCAGCTACTTTGTGTTTTTTCTCCTCAATCAAGACTCCTTTTATTCCAGTGCTTAGTTAACACAAGAATTACATCACCACACCAAAAAAATGAAATCAAAACAAAGAGTTGAACAGAAATTGGAGATACGATTTCAGTACACTGTATTGAATATAAAATATTATTGAATCACTGAACTATTTACAAATAAAAACTTCAACAAAAACTGTGAAAAGGAACTGTGAAAAGGAACTTTGGAAAGGACACTATATAGTTAAACTCTAGACACGTAGTTGTTTGTTTTCGTCAATATGACAGAGTACGTTATTCCAAGAAGTGCCAGAAGTGGCTTGTTAGAGCCCATATGCCTTTTAGTTGTTTTTAGATTGGCATTCGGTTCGCTTCAGATCATTTTGTTTACACACAATTTTCACTTCATGGAATCAGAGATAACTTGGAAAAGCAAGTAAGGAATAATGATGCGAACAAAGAAGCCTGTAAGGAGAAGACCCCAAAGAACGTGTATAATAAGAAACTTGACAAACATGCCAATGTGATAAACCGTTTTAACACGAAACAAAAGGAAAATCCAAAAAAGCCAACGTGGAGAAACTGGCAGTGCATATATCCAAGACTACTGAGAAGTGAAATCCAAAACGCAGTCCTTTTTTATCCAGTGATCGTCCGACTCGAGTCTGGAATAATGAAAGATTCGTGTTATTCGTAGTAGAGGATACGTATTATCATTTTGTGAACATTGTCGTCACGTGGAGGCCATACCGTTTTCATTAATTAATCTCCTTAATCTAAAGTGTTTCTGCATTTTGTATGTAAATGACCAAGTGCTCTCAATCCCCAGGGATTTTGGCGTGTACATAGTCCATTTTATGCTGTCGCTCTACTTATGAAATTAAATTCGTTTACTGCTTACATAATTGGCTTTCGTCCCAACATTTTATAGATGTTGGGATTTTCAGCGTGATATTTGTATTGTAAGAACGCAGTCGGTCGTTTGGGTGCTATAAACTGATTCTGTACCCTGACATTCCACTGGGACCCTACCCCCTATTCATTCCCCAGTTTTTTTTTTAGAATTTAGCGTTACATTGAAAGGTTGTTTCAAGGCAAATGAAAGCATTTTATGGCAAATGAGCATTTGAACACGTTTCTTCACACTACGAACTGCTGGTGGCGTTTTTGTTCCCATTTCTATCTTTACTTCGGCTGTTTACCTAAAGGGGGGTGTGCTAGAATAAAATACCCCCAAAGTATTTAAGATGCAGTTGACACTTTAAATCGCCCCAGCTAAAACGGGAACATGTTTGTTATCAGGAGTGGTCTCGACTCTGGAGANGACCCTGACCTGAAGATGGTACCGTGTTCTTGGTTCGGCTCTTACTGTTCTTCCAACAGTGCACTTTGGACACAAACACCGCACGAAAATCTGGATGTCGTGTCGCGTAGATGATGGGATTGACGGAGCTGTTGATCATGAGGATCGTGGACGTGTACGTCAAGACGCTTCTCGTTACTTCGGCGGGTAATCCTTGCATGAGGAAGTACGGACTCAAACAAAAGAAGAAAACGCACACCACCAGAAACAGGTTTTTAGTGACTGCCACCTGACGATTCCAGATTTGCCTTTGAAGTGCGTCATTTCCCCTGTTGGTTTGTCCAGAGCCGTCAAGATAGAGTGTTGATCGAGATGTCTTTCTAACGTAGAGGAAGATTCGCAAGTAGCTTGTGAAGAGGATAACAAATTGCACGGGAAAAAACGCAACAGCAAGGAGCATTGCGTATATGAAAGTGTAAGATTTGTTTGATCGCCAGGCACATGAGTTGTAGATTGTGTTGTAGCCATATTCTGCGTAATCGAACAAGAGGGGAAGTATTGCAACAGTCATGGGCACAAACCATGTCAAGGCAACCATTATGGTCAGTTTACCAGGAGTGTAGAGCCTACGGTACATGCTGTCTGCTTTGGTTGTAATGCCAACAAGACGATTGACTGCGATACAGGCCAGGCAGTTGATACTGCATCCAATGCAGGTGATGAGGCAAAACGCAACCAGCTTGCATAACCAAGACGGGATGAGGAGCTCGTCGTGCAAGACGGTCAGGGCTTGCAAGGGAGACACGGTACACGTCAAGACATCGGCCACTGCCAGGTTCAGAACAAACACGTTGGTTGTAGTCTGCAGTTTCTTGACTGCAAGAATGGCACAAATGACTGTTAGGTTTCCAAAGAAACCAACAAATGAAGCAACGAAAGTTGCCGCCGAGTTGATCTGACGCTCGGCGTACGTTCTGTAAATTGACTCATTTGTCTCGCCTCCCAAGGTATTGTTGCCATTGGAAATACTGAGAGCATCCATGTTTGAAATTGATAACCAATTAAGGAGCAGTGCTGATATCGTTCTTGGGATTTCGGTACCATCTGTTACTCGCCCACAGTCGTGGCACAGCGCTGTTTTTCTGCGGGTCTGCTATTTCTTTGCAGCTATCGATCCCCGTGGTCAAGTTTGATAGTAGATTTATTACATGTAATACATATTATCTGGTTTTCCCGCCCTTTTACCAAATTCTCTGCGTGATCACCTCAAAATTCCGTACCCGCATCTTTGAGAGTTTCGTGGTAGTAATGGTTCCCTGCCTTTTTAAGTGGCTCTTGTCAGGGTCGATGGTTGTGTATACAGTTGCTTTCGTCAAAGACAGCGGTGCAGTGACTTGGGGATTTGCAAAGATTGATAGGTTTAAGGCCACTTGTGTAGAGTAGGGAATGCAGAGGGAAAGGCTAATGATTTTACACAATAAACGTTAGATATTTGACAAAATTTAGTCATCCTTATGGTATAATTTGACCAATATTAAATTGATCACGAAACTGGAAAATTAGTCATTACACTGGTTAAATGGCTACTAATAATTGGTGTTCCAAAAAGTTTCATTTGACTAATCTTTTGGACGATTAGTAATGCACGAAACTTAATTCGTAATCCCCAAAGGTAATTTTTAAATCAGTATTAATGCAGTTGGTCTTAACATTAATTTTACGACACTGGTAATTGGTCTGCAACATCAATAATTAGTCTGCCATACATTCTCAACATTTACGTCTGTATTCCCCCTCTTTTTAAACTGTTTTCGTTTTTCACGTTTTGATCTCTTACTGAATATTTAAATGTAAATTGTTGGCAATTTTTTAAGAATGAGGAACCTGATTCTGTGGGTAACTCTGATATATTTGTGTATTTGTGGCAACGTTTAAGTTACGATCTTGATGTATTTGTTTTTCATTTTTGATGAGGGCCCCTAAATGATCAGCTCCTGCTGGATGGGTTACCCTCAATTTCAATATTCATTGATATATTTGCGAACAATTCCCCGTCATAAACAATTACAAGTAATTATTATCTGTGAAGTCAACATACACTGCCCAACAAAGAGCTGTCACAAATACGTCAAAATAACTTAACAAGGTCTAAGTTTTAAGAACACAAGAAAAAGAACACCTGAAGCGCTGCAGACTGCCAACAACATCACAGGAACTTAATCTGTCTCATCTCAACTACTCATTTTTCGACTGTGTTTTTTTTTTGAGTTGATTTATCCAAGCCGCTAGGCTGGCATAAACACACTCTTCAATCTTTCCAGGTGATAAACTACATGTTTGTTTTTCTTGGTTTTTTGTTTTGTTGGGAAAACTACCCTGGGCGATCTATAGACTTCAAAAAAGATAAATAATATTGCACAATAATAATGTTTCGCCGAGTAAACCAATGTACAGACTTTAAAAATTGGAATCCTATTTCTGCATGCCCTTTTCTCGACAACCGGCTTTAAACGATTGAATCCTTGCTAATTCCCCAAGTCACTGCACGGCAGCTTTGACAAGATCAATAGTAAACACGACCAACGGCCTTGCCTCGACATGAGCCACTCTTAACCGCTGGGGACGATTACTAGCCTACTTGTATTCTTAAACTCTTTAAGATGCGGGTAGGACAATCCAAACTGTGATCACGCAGAGAACTCGGAAAAAAATGCAGGGAAAGTGAGATATTAAACCTTGTCATGTAGAACGGTGGCATGAACGGTACATAATCGACTCCACTTGTGAAAAAACTAAACTACAGGCGAGTGACTTCATAACAGAGCCAGAACATCGACAACAGTGCTGTTCCTTATATGGTTATCCACAGTCATTTCAAACATGGATCCTTTCAATATTTCCCTTGAAACTGATATCTTGGGAGGCGAGACAAATGAATCTGCTTACGCAACGTACGCCGAACGTCAGATTAACGCGGCGGCGACTTTCATTGCTTCTTTCGTCGGTTTCTTTGGAAACCTAGCAGTCATTTGTGCCATTCTTGCAGTCAAGAAACTGCAGACTACAACCAACGTGTTTGTTCTGAACCTGGCAGTGGCCGATGTCTTGACGTGTACCGTGTCTCCCCTGCAAGCCCTGACCGTCTTGCACGACGAGCTCCTCATCCCGTCTTGGTTGTGCAAGCTGGTTGCGTTTTGCCTCATCACCTGCATTGGATGCAGTATCAACTGCCTGGCCTGTATCGCAGTCAATCGTCTTGTTGGCATTACAACCAAAGCAGACAGCATGTACCGTAGGCTCTACACTCCTGGTAAACTGACCATAATGGTTGCCTTAACATGGTTTGTGCCCGTGACTGTTGCATTACTTCCCCTCCTGTCTGATTACGCAGAATATGGCTACAACACAATCTACAACTCATGCACCTGGCGATCGAACAAATCTTACGTATTCTTGTACGCAATGTTCATCACGGTTGTGTTTTTTCCCGTGCAATTTTTTATCCTCTTCACAAGCTACTTGCGAATCTTCCTCTTCGTAAGAAAGACGTCTCGATTAACACTCAGTTTTGACGGGTCTGAACAAACCGAAAGGGGCAACAAGGCAATTCAAAGGCAAATCTGGAATCGTCAGGTGGCGGTCACGAAAAACCTGTTTCTGGTGGTGTGCGTTTTCTTCCTTTGTTTGAGTCCATACTTTCTCATTCTCGGAATACCACGCGACGTATCAAGCATGTTGGCGTATGCATCAACGATCCTCATGGCCAACAGTTCCATCAATCCTATTATCTATGCAACGAGACATCCAGATTTTCATGCAGCTTTTGCATCCATGGTTTACTGCTTCCGGAAGAAGAGGCCACCTAAGACGACTGCACCACTTTCCGGTCAGGGTTTCTCCAAATTGGACACTTCTCCTGACAATAATGAAAATACCTTTGTGTAAGGCCGCTAAGGCGATCGCTCTTATTTTACTGCCTCGAAGTGTCGATTGCACATTCCCCCTCCTAACCTTCAAGAAACCTTGCCAAAATGTTCTGCGCAGTGAAAAAATAAACTGGAACAAACGTGATCCAGCACGTTTTAGCGCGCAAAATCACGCCCGATCGATGACGTGGATGTTCATTTTAAGCAAATGCTTGCCTAGTACAGACGGTCTCATCTACACCTGACACTCATCGAGTCCAGCGGAATGCAAGAAAATACGGATGGCAGGGAATGGAGGCTGCCCCGCAGCGACAAATCAACTATGCCTGGCTACCAGCAGCTGTTAGCTCATGTCGGTTGACTACACTATACTGGTCTCCGAAATAGCAGGATGTGCAACACGTGTAGCTAGCTACCAGTCCCTGTTACCGAGCTGACAAAATGGACTCCGGGTATCTTCGACTGACATCTATCCCCTCCATTTGTCTAACTTGGCTGGCCCTTCTAGGAATCTAAGAACTTCTGGCATAGCTCTTGGGGTCACTGAAATGCGTTAACTCCGCCACCACGATAACGTTACAGTTTGGAGAGGAGACAGCCGTGCATGCGCAGCTGAAAAAGTGGTGTCACTTTAAGAGAAAACTGACTTCTCCCGAGGATGGGCAAAGCACACTCTTCGAAACGACGACTTACCGGTTCTACTAAGAACGAACTCTCGCTTAAAAAGATTTTTACAATGTGCCGACAGGTTAGGTTTGACGTTCCACTGGAACGTCAAACCTAACCTGTCGGCACCTCACCATGCAGACCTTCCAAATGTATCAAAAATTCCTTTCTTTACTAGTTAGGCTCTGGTGGTTTTAAATGACCATGCCACCATTGCAATCAAACTGCTAAAAGGACTGCTGACAATATTAGAGGAACTTTTGTCGAATCTTAGTATCTGTCTATTGCCGCTCAACTTATGTATGAACCGATCCATGTTCACTCTGATTGATTCGAGCCAATAGAAATGTATATATCCAAAAGACCCTGAAGACACTCTCAACTCTTCCCGGGAATATATATTTCATTGAGGGTTAATGTAATTGTTTTTTTTTTGCTTTTGGTTAAGATTTAATTTTGTACCCAATAGAACGTAAAAAATATGGTACAGTAAAATGGTACAGATTAAAAGCAAACCAATTTACAAAACTTTACAACAGGAATCTTAGTTGATCAACTTGCACCAAAAATTCGTCATTTTGAGAAAAACATACACTTTTTAGAACTGACTTATTTGTACATCTAAATGGCTAATCGCTTGTCTTTTGAGTAATCGATTTTTTTGAAATACGAATCAAAATTGTATGCCCCGTATCACTTTGCCGGTCGTACGCTACGAGGTGAGTGGAATTTCAACAATTTTTAAATATTTCTTTCAATACGAATTGAAAGAAATTCAACTTAATCCAGCGTCTGACATACATCCACTAGTGTATCAGCTTTATTAATGTGTTCTGTACTTTGTTGTTTCGGTCAGCTTGCATATATCTAGACGGGTATTGTTTGAAGCCGGGGTTGTTGTCATTTCAATATGGCTTCGGCCGGGTGCAGAGACCCAAAAGCAATGCGTATTGATCGTTAATTTGTGACGCCTTTTTGTTGGTACGCTGCCTTGACGTATCCCCGCTTGGACGAAAGGGACATTTTAATGAAAAATGTGCTACCTTGAGGAAATTCCTCCCGGGACCTCCGCTTGTAATCTGCAATTTGTCCAATTTAGGAAGAAACGCTGATGCCTTCAAGGAGCTCACAGAAGGGATTGATGAAACTTTGCCCTTCCCCCCTGTTTTATCATAGGAAAAACACGCGGTGAAACTTAACAATTCGAAACAAACAAAATACCGGTAGGGGTTTAGTTAAATGTACATTCGTTGATTGCTCGACGACATTAGATAGATTACTTCGGCACCCCACTCTGGTGATTTTGCACAACATTTATTCACAAGTATTTGGGTTTGCTGGCGGGATTTGCCCTTGGTGATAGAAATTTGAGAAATGAAATTGGAAATCATTCTCCTGGAATAAAGCAAAAAGTCAAATTAATGTAAGGCAGATAAAACACTAGAAAACC